TGGAGGGGGACTGAACTAGCAGGGAGGAGGGGTAAGAAAGACAGGGGGAAGATGTCACCCAGGATGGCCCTCACAGTAGGAACAGATTATGACCCTCTAACTCCATGGACCCACCCCTTGAGACAGGAACATCAAACCATCAGCACCCTGCCTCTCCCATAGCTGTGTCACCCCATGTGTCTAAGAGAAAGTGAGCATTCTGACCATGTTGTGTTGACTGTCCTGTTTTTAAGTCCTTGGCCATATCTCTTCTTTCCTAAGTTGGAGACCTGGAATAAGATTCAGTTTAGAGGACATGCACACTCGTCAGGTACAGGTTATATAAGATGATCAAATCAGCAGGAATCACCCTGTACTGGGCAGTTTGGCAGTGCAAGAGCTTCCATCTTTGTCTGTAATGAGCATTGTCAGAGACCAGGTGTCTCTCAGCTGAAGGGTATTAAGGTTTGTGTTGATCCAACTAATGACATGGGATTATGTTTATTTTCTGTATTTTATGAACCTATTGATAATTTGGGATGAAACTTAAAGGTGCAAAGAAGGCACCTCCTGTATGTAATCTTAACCTTGATTTACAGAGTGATTTGCACATAACGCAGCCTCCCTCTGGGAGAACTTTACATACACCCTCTGTTCATGTACCTGCCTGCCCCACATTATTACACTAACTTTACACTTTGCAGCTCAGCTCTTCCTTTTCAGATAGCTCTATAACTGTTGTAAGATAAACTACGTATCTGAATTTTGGTGCTTTCAATAATTTCCTTATTGTGAGTGATGCTATCAGAAGTGCCTATAATGATCTGACTATGATGTCAGGACTCAGCTATAGGTGGCCAGGCTACATGTGAAGCCACTGACAACCAGTTCGCTTTTCCTTCACCCACATGAATTCATAAGTCACACAAAATGGATTTTTCCCAAATTTAAATTTTTACAAATATATCTTCTCTTCATATTGATGAGGCTTTACATGTAGGCTTTTCTTTCTTCTCTATTTGCATTCTGGTCTTTGGCAATAAGCCCATAAGTGGCTTTCCTCAGCCACCACAGCTTCCAGAACCAAGCCCATCACTGCCAGTCTTCCGGGGCACTCAGAGCCCAGAAGAAGACTGTAGCAATTTCTGAAATGGTAGGATTTGCTCCCTGTCTCTTTTTCTATGTCTCTGTCTCTGTGTCTCACTCACTTGCTCTCTGCAATCAAGAATTATTGTGACCGTGGCAGAACACTGGAGGAAGAGATGGAGTTCTTTACAGTATGGTTCAGCATCCTTTTGAAAAGCTGGGCAGCAATAGAGTAGAATCATCTCGACTGAATGAAACAGTGAACTTTGCAGCAGGTGTCCCAGTTGGATGTAGGCAGGAGTCCTAATGGGAATGGTTGAGCACTTGGGTATAGCTGTGGGTCAGACCATGAAGATTGTATCTTTATTTGACACAGGGATGGGCAGAGTATTCTGAGGGGGAGAAGCACTCGTTTCTGATGGGGCGACAGTGCCAAGGAAGACATTACAGTGGCATGTGCCACACTGCTACCTTCAGAACCCAGGAGAAGGAAGAACTGCAGTTTGCTTAACTCCAGGCCAAGTACCTTCTGCCCCTTACTGGGTACTTTGTGGTGTGGTTTTTAAAAAATATTTTTATTTTTATTTTAAAATAATAAAAGTTCAAAGAGGATGTCAGATATTCTGGAACTGGAGTTACAGACAGTTGTTAGTTGCCATGTGGGTGTTGGGAATCAAACCTAGGTCCTCTGTAAGAACAGCCAGTGCTCTTAACCACCGAGCCATCTATCTAACCAGCTCCTTGCTGGGTGCTTTGTAAGATTAACCTTACACTTGATTGTCAGGCTGACCTCAAAGACAGAAACTGACACACACATTGGAAATGGAAATGGAGTTGGGAGGAAGCACTACCTTGTTTCAGCACATTTGCAGGCCACAAACAAGAATAAAACTGACGTTTTCCCTCATCCCTGAAAAGAATATGAGCTGTGGGGTTTTAGCCTAGTGAGGTTGGGGAACAGGTACTGTGATGGGAGCCTATTTCTCCTTCCAGGCAGGTAGTTGCCTGGATCATGAGAAATTTATAGCCACTTTCAAGCAAGGAGGGAAGAAGTTCAATGTGGCTCATTATCTCTTTCAGCATGTCTGCATTTATATGTTGGGGGGCGGGGGGTTATAAGTATTAACAAAAGATTTGGAGAGTGGGACTGGAGAGGCAGCTCAGCAGTTAAGAGCACTGGTAGCTCTTACAGAGGACCCAGGTTCAGTTCCCAGCACCCACATGGCAGCTAACAAACACCCATAACTCTAGTTCCAGGGGATCTGTCACCCTCTTCTGACCTCTGTGAGCATTGCATGACACAGGTGCACTTACATACATGTAGGCAATATACCCATACACATAAAATAAAAATAAATGAAAATATTTTTTAAAGAGATTTGGAAAGTGTGGTGGTGTGCCTACATTGTGGACCTGAAAAAGGATTCAGACATATCATGGAAACACACTCTAGGCATGTCTGTGAGACTGTTTCAAAGAGGTTCAACTGAGGAGGAAAGAGCCACCCTAAGCATGGACAACACCGTCCTATGTGCTGGAGTCCCAGGCTGACTCAACAATAAAGTGAGCTGAGTACCAGCAGTTCTCTCTCCACTTACTGACTGCTGATGCAATGTGACCAGCTGCCTCTCACTCCTGCCACCATGACTTCCCACCATGATGGGCTGCACCCTCAAACTGAGTCAAACCATTCCTTCAGTTATTTTTGTCAGGTATTTTGTCACAGTCAGGAGAAAAGCCATTAATGCAGAGACATTGTCATCTTGGTGACCCTGGCTGATTTTTCTCTTTTGAGAGCTTTTCTTTAAATGCCACAGGTGAAAATATAATTTGACATGAATAGCATCGTGGCAGCAATTACAATTACATAATCCTATATCATTCCTTAAAGTGATGAGTTCCAATTGTGTTATTTTCATCTTGCATGAACAGGTTCTTTTGCCTCTTAATTTTAACAAGTTCTGTTAAGAACTGAACCTAAATTTTTCCCCTGAGGGCTTGTGTGTTCAGGGATTGGCTGCCAGCTAAAGGGCTCTCAGGAAGTAACCAGATGGTGGGGGCAATAGCACCATCAATAGTCAATCTACTGAGTTCATAGCTGAATGGGTCTGAGGAGCTGGACCTGGTTGAAGGAAGTGAGCCACTGTAAACATGCCCTTGTGGGGAATACCTGTTCCCTGACCCCTTGTGCTTTTGCTTCCTGGTCACATTGTCAAGAGCAGTGTCCCTCCACCATGCCCCATGTTCCACCTCACCACATTCCAGGAAAAATGCAGCCAGAATACTATGGCCTGCAAAGAGAAAAATCTCTGTATATCTGGGAAGTTGTACTATGTTTAACTGCGCCACATAGAGTAGTTCTTTGTTAACACTCCTTGGAAGTTGCCAGAGGAGAATGCTAACAAGTCTAGTTTGAATCCACAGTTCAGCAGATCTCTGTGGCCTCTGCTGTGTTTCTCACTAGGCACATGTGACTCGATGCTAATTAATACTGTATGTTTCCCATGTGCCTTGTCACCAACAGTGTCATATTACATAAACGACCCCCCCAAACATGGGTCAAGTGACTTTGTAAAAATAAGTCCCAGAAAACTCAGGCTCACCGAGTTGTTGTGAATATGGAACACAAAGGAATTCCACACTCCCACTCTGAAAAAAAGGTTTAAAATAAAGATGTAGAATACATGACATTGTACAAAATAACAAATTTTATTTCTAGAAAATATGTTACCCTAACTGTACACATGCACACACACATCCACACAGCACTTCAGCACACACTGAGTAATTGTCTTTTAATAAATCTACCACATACAAGTATATTACAATTTACAATATAGTTTTTGAAGACACAATGGGGAAAGCTTTGTCATTCATTATAAACCTTCCAGAAATTACAAAAGAAAGGCAGTCTGAAAAGTGTGTATAAAGAGTAGAAACAATTTTACAGTGGACAAGAATTACAAAATAGTAACCATCGCACACATCTGCCAGCAACTTGGTACGTCTGTTGTTACAGGCTAATGGTAAAGGGAGCTTGGGACCACGTCTGAGAGATTTGAATTTAGGCTCCTTTTTTGTGGCTAGGGGTTGTGTGGATGGCTTTCTGCGTGTGTGTGGTGGTTTATCTGGCATGGCATTTTGACAAGCAATGAAAGTAACAGAAATCTAAATGCCACAAAACGGGACACAGAGAGAAAAGATTATTAGCCTTCTGGCAGGTCAGAGAACTTACACTTTACACTTCCTCTCCTTTGCTCTTTTGTGTGTGGTTGGCTAAGTAAACATTTTTTGTGTGTTGCCAGCTTGCTTTGAAAGACCAAGACAAGCATCTTAAAATGGCAGCGTGGACAACTGTGATATGAGGCCTGTGTCAGAGGATGAAGACCAGGAATGCACGACACATACAAAGTACACATGGTGTTTTTATTAGACAGTACAAATCATTGTGCAGTTATAAGGCAGAACATCAAGGCGAATTAAACTAGGAATTTCAAGACCAGAGTCAAAGTGAAAGCAATGCGTTATGAGGCAAGCATTTTGAGAGGGGGCAGGGGGCTGGGAACTTGTTCCTCTAAAGGTGGATGACAAGTGTGTGCGGGCTGGATCTGCAGGTGGAGGCTGCAGAGAGCCTTTCTCCCCTGATGCTCAGCCAGCCGCCCTCCCACCTCCCACTCCAGACCTTGGACAGAACATTGAGTGGAGAGGGAGGACCAAAGTCCCTCTCCAGTCTCACGGATGGTTTAAATTGGATGGTAGTGCAAAAGTGCATTTCTCTACTGCTGGCAGGGGAGAAGGTAGGGTTTTTAGGAGTCATGAAAGCCCTAGTTTGGAATTAAAGAAGATTACATCGGTTTGGAATTGTCCAGAAGCTCTGAATCACTTCACCGCACCCAGCCTTTTCAGCAGTTTCTTGCCTTTGGAAAGCAGCCCCTTTTTCTTTTTCGAGGACATTTCCCTGCCTCTCCCAGGACTACCAGAACCCATAGATGACGTAGGTGACCCCGAATGGAGATGGACTGTGGGGGATGGAGCTCTCCTTGCTGTCCCTGAACCCTCGGGAGGAACCTAGTAGGTACATTGCGACAGTTTATTGAGTGCATCAACGCCAACAATATCAATCCACTCCGTAACACGTACTTCCCCATCTCCCGCCAGCCAGGGGAAAGGGTGGTTCGTTTCTTCTTTCAATTTTTAAAGTATGCCATGTGAAGCCCACGCCCGCTCCCAAGGCTCCTCTGAGAAAGAGACTGGCCTCGATGGGCTTTCGGAGTCTTTGTCTTGGGAGACGGGGTGGTCATCGCTTTGGCAAAGAAAGCCAGGTCTTAATTTACTCTGAAAATTCAGACTAAAAGCAGGGGGAGTTATTGTCAATCAGATTGATAGTCAAGGTGGCCGAGTTCCCATCAGTCATGTTAAAGCAAAAGCTCTTAGTGGGAATTTGGATGGATTTGCAAACTAGGTGGGTAATTAAGATCCTTGCATGGTTGAGCGAGCCCTTGGGTTAGTTACAATCCTATGGAAACTTTGGGAATGGCACACTGTTTGAAAGAAAAAAAAACTGAAATGAACCTTAATTACAATCAAAGGAAGCTCAAAGGCCCTTCTTGAACTCTTTGTCATTGCCAAATAGTAGAGCAATAATTAAATGGTGCAACATGAGTTATCGCCAGCACAAGGCATGTTTGAGGGACTTTAGGTGTTCAGCCAACAGTGCTTCAAAGGGGCAGAATTTGATTTGGGGACATGACATGCTGACTGCCCTTCATTCTGAAGCTAGGCACACTTACAATTGCCACACCTCTGGGTTGCAAAACTCCCCAGAGTAAAATTCTTGACAAGCAAAAGCCAGTCATTTGACAGGCAATACAAGCCAAGGGGCCTCAAGCTTGCTTGGATTTAAAATCAAGGTCTAACTCTAATGGAAAACACCTAGGGATGCACCCAAAGCACACCTGAAGATACCATGGAGCCCAGCTCGTGCAATCATCGGAACTGTGGAGTCAGGAGACGCCGTATTGCATTGGCGCACCAACCCGCCTCTACTGCACCTGTGAGTGCTCAGAACGGTTGTGCTCGGAAAAGAGTCTAAGCTTTCTAGCTTACTTCGGTTGCTCATAAGGCTGAGGTTCTGGAACTCAGTATTCCAGCCAGCTTTGGTGTACCCAAGAGCCAGCCCCACTGCCCACGGATTTATCTTGAATTGTAGTGTTTTCTTAGTTATAAATAAAACTTCCTAGAGTAAACATTGATTAGGTTGTGCTTTTTACCAAGAGTGGCTAACAATGCAATACACAGCTTCCATTATGAGTACACGCTGGAGCACTCTATGTAAACAAACAGCTTTTTAAGAAATATGTTCCCAAGGTTGGCCTTTCCAATACTCTCAATAGAAATAGTAAGAACTGATTATTCAAGATGATTCGTTTCATTACGAATCCAGTTGCCAAGCAACTGAGACCAGCTGAGATAGCCTAATACTTTAGGTCCAATGGGTGTTTTGAGACATATTTCTTTTTCTCTCTTTCTCTTTCTTTAAGCCCACATTGAAGTCTTAAGACTACCACACTGTCCGCTTAGGGTAGCTTAAGTCGGTATCTCTCTAAGGTGTCTTCGGCTGCTCACTTACGTGAAGGCTACATGCCTGATTAGGGTGTGAAATGAACACTCTTCTTCTGTGTCCAAGCAGATGAGCGAAGAAATAAAAATATATACGTAAAATATAACAGATAAGAACTGGCAGTGATGGTGTAACGTAAAGATGAGATACAAGAGAATGCAGTCTCAGGCAGGCGTGCTACACTAAGGAGGCCTTGCAATCTAGAGCCCTAATGGGGCCGGTGGCATCCAGGTCCCCAAACCTGACTCTCTGTCGGCTGAAATGTGCACCTGTGGTGGAGGCTGGAGACAGCCTCAGGGTCAAGCAGACTGACTGGAACCAAAGGGTCCTTCTGTGGGACATGAACCTACAACTTGGAACTAAGCATTTGAGGGCACAATGCCCAAGAAAGGACAAAAAAAAAGGTGGATGCTTGTCAGCCCAAGATATGAAAATAGCAATGCAAAGATTGCCTTAGACCACACGGGGCAAGAGGGACAGGAGACTGGAAGCTAAGGAGGCTTGCTTACCCTTTTGGCCTTGGAGCGCATAGGCGGGTCTTGGGAGTAGTGGGACGGCGCATCGGAGAGGTATACCTCCACATCGTCAGGCACTTCTTCCAGGAAGTTTGAAGGTACCAGGCCTTTCTGCCCATTCAGCTCGCCCTGTAAAACACAATGAGGAGGAACCAGAGGAACCACTTTTTCCAGAGCTTGCTTCTTGCTCTTACAAAGGACATCCACAAAGATTGCAGGTGTGTAGTGAGTTTATCCTTGTTAGAAGAGGTAGAACTTGAAGGGATGCTAAGTTAGTGCTCCCAAAAGGCCCGGATCATATGAACCACTGCAACCACAAGCTGGGGGTGGGCTCAGGCCCTTGTGCATGCCAGGCAAGTTGCTCTGTCACTGAGCTATGTCCCCAACCCTTTTTAAAGTTTTTTATTTTGAGACAGAATCTCACTAGATTACGCAGGCTAGCCTTGAACTCACAATTCTCCTGCCCTAGCCTCCTGCTGTCCTGGGCAGATCTTGATCTGGAATCTATGTTTTAGTCAAGGGAAGAGTTGGTCCTAAGGATCCACTCTGCTTGGATCCTCTCCATAGTGGATCTCCTTTAATGGTTGTCAAGCCCAGAGTCTCTAGGACTGGAGTGCAGCTCAGTGGTAGAGTGCTTGCCTGGTGTTTGCATCCTATTGAGCCAGCCTAGCTACAGAGTGAGTTCAAGGCCAGCCTGGGCAACTTGGTGAGAATCTATCTCAAAATAAAAAGGGCTGGGGGTATAACTCATTGGTAGAGCACTGACCTACCTTGTGGCAGCACAATGACCTAGCCAGTGCCACACCTGTAGAATTAAAAGCTGATGAAATTCAAGGAAGGTCAGACCCATCACTGTCACCAGCCTTGTGGTTTTCTTTCTTGTATGTAGGAACACACCGTCGTGGTGAAAATCCAAACAACATGGGGAAGGCGAGAAGGTTGACACTCCCTTAGACCTCTGCCTCAGGTTTGTTCATACATTAGCATATGAGCCAGGGTAAGGTGCTGGTTAAGTCTGGCTGCTGGCTGGACCACAGCAGCAAGTCATTCCCCAGCCAGTCGCACAATTCCCTTCCCAGGGCTCCCAACACTAGGCTGTCCCACAAGTACTCAGGCCAAGTTCAGAATTGGCTGGCCCCTAGCTGTAGTGGTGCCTTCTGCCTACAAGTCCCAGCTACTTGGGAGGCTGAAGCAGGATTGTTTGAGCCCTGGACATTGGAGAACAGCCTTGGGCAAAACAGCAAAACCTGATCTCAAAAGCGAGCAAAATAGGCTGGTCCTGACAGCACAGTGTTCTGTTTCTGGAGAGCAGCATCAGAGTCAGCATTGTTCATCAAATTTAAAACCTATGTGCATCACAGTGCTCAACCAGCAGCATAAAGAGGAATCCAGGGGACAGGACACATGGTTATAAATAGTCTATAAGTTAAGGAATTAATATCCAGAATATGTGAAGAACTGCTACAACCCAACAACAGATAAAATCATTTAAAACAGAAACTTCTCCAAATAGATTTGAATGACCATGAAGCACATGGAAAGATAACAGCACCCTGGTCACAAGGCAAATGCAGATTAAAACTACATGAGGGCAGGTGAGATGGCTCAGTGGGTAAAGGTGCTTGCCACCAAGCCTAATGCCCTGAGTTTGGTCCCAAGAACACATGTAAGAGAGAGAGAAATGACCCTGGCAAATTGTCCTCTGACCTCCACATACGCCCTCCCCTTCCCTCTACATGCACAAAATAAATGTTAAAAATGTTTAAATGCTTTGGCGAAGGCACCATACATCATCAGAATGATTACATTCAAGAACTGGCTTCAGGTCCTCCAAAGCAGAAAACAAGCCCAGTAGAGAGCAGGACCTTCGTGCACCGTGTGGGAAGGTGGTGGTGCGGCTGCTGGGAGCACAGGACAGCAGGTCCTCTAAGACTAACAAGTTTAAGTTCCACTTCTGGGAATGTATCACAAAGGGTGCAAGTCAGGCCTCAGAAAGATAGGCATACACCCAACTTCTACAGCTGCATCACCTGCAGCACTCAAAAGGTAAATGAAACCCAAATGTCTATTGACAGATGAATGAATTGGCAAAATGTGACATATACCTATCATGGAATATTATTCAAACCTACAAAAGAAAAATCCCTTTTTGACATATCCACAAGGATGAATGAACCCTCAGGAAATTATGCTAGGTGAAATGGATTGATCACAAGAGGACAGATTCTGCAGGTGCCTAGAGTAGTTAGAGTCACAGAAATTAGAGTGGCAGGCACTGGATGGGGGCTGGGCATGGGAGAGGAAATAGGAAAGCTAGTGTTTATGGGGATAGAGTTTTAGTACTGAAGGATGAGAAAGTTCTGGGAAGGATACATGAATGAACAGTGATGTGACTGTACTTGATACTTAATACTGTGAACTGTGCACTTAAGATAATGAAGGTGGTAAATTTTCCGTTATGAATATTTTACCATGATTAAATGGGGCTGAGAGATAGCTCAGAGGTTAAGCGCACTGGCTGCTCATGCAGAAGACCTGGGTTCAATTGCCAGCACCCACATGGTGGCTAACAACTGTTTGTAACCCCAGTTCCAGGGTATCTCACACCTTCTGTCCTCCAAGGGCATTGAAAGACATAGGTACTACCACTTGTATACATGCAGGTAATATACACATAAAATAAAATAATAAAGATAAAATTAATCAATTCAGGGAAAGAAGAGGCAGTGCCATGCACTTCTCTCACTGTTCTGCAAAATCTCCCCTGCCCTGTGCATGGTGCCCCGCTCCCTTCTGCTTTGACCTTGAAGACTGCACTCTGATGTTCACTTTCAACCTCCCTCTTCCTGTCCTGGGTTCTACCACACACCAGAAGACAGAGAGATCAATAAGCAATTAAATGAAACAACTTAAAGCTCTGGGAAATTAATAACAAGCCAAACCCAAATCAGTAAATGAAAAGACATAATTATGATCAGGGCAAAATTAATGAAATGGAAAAATATGATCCAAGGTTGGTTATTTGGAAAGATAAACAAAACTGTCAAAGCCTTAACCAGGAGAAATATAGGAGACCCAAATAATAAAATGAGAAATAAAAAGGGAGCCATTACAACAAATACCACAAATTCAGAAAATCATTGAGTCATACCTAAAAAAAAACAAATATTCTACTAAATTGGAAAATCTAAAGGAAACATGAATTTCTAGACATATATGACTTTCCAAAATTAAACCTAGATGAGGTAACAATTTTAAAATATCTATAAGAAGCAGTAAGAGTGAAACAGCAATAACAGTCTTCTAACTAAAAAGGTCCAGGCCCAGATGGAGTCCCTGGTGAATTCTACCAGACCTTCAGAGAAGAATTAAGTCCAATGCTTCTCAAACTAGTCTATACAGTAGAAAAGGAACAGTAACAAAATATTTTAATAAGCAGATAAAGATACAGAAAAAATAAAATTACAGACCAATTTCCTTGATGAGTATAGACACAAAAATTCTCAACAAAATATTTGCAAATTAAGAATACATCAAAAAGATCATTCACTATGACCAAGCTGGATTTGTACCAGAGATGTAGGAATGGCTCAATCTATGTAAATCAATAGATGTTATAAATTACATACAAATCCTGACTCAAGAACAGAAAGCACCTGGTCATCTTTATATATGCAGTAAGAACTTTTGACAAAATCTAACATCCATCCCTTCGTGTTAAAAGACCTGAAGAAACTCAAAATGGAAGGAACATATCTCAACATAATAAAAGCTCTACATGACAAACCTACAGCCAATAATATTAAATGGGAGAAATCAAAGCATTTCTAGTAAAATCAGTACCAAGACAGGGGTGTTAACTCTTTCCACCCTTCTTCAGTATAGTCCTGGAAGTCTTAGCTAGAGAAATGACAAGAGAAGCAAGTAAAAGGGCTGTGAATAGGAAAGGGTGGTATGATTGTACACATAAGAGACCCTAAGCACGCCACCAGAAAACTTAGATCTGATAAACACTTTCAGCAAATTGACACAGTATAAAATTAACACAAAAAAATCAGTAGCCCTTCCATATACTAATGACAAATCAAGAAAACAATTCCATCCATAAAAAAATGTTTTTTCATGGGCAATGGGTTAATGATAAAAGAAATGAATCTAGCACTAGGCGTGGTGACACACACTTTTAATCCCAGCTCTCAGGAAGCAGAGGCAGACAGATCTCTGTAAGTTCAAGGCCAGCCTGGTCTACATAGGGAGTTCCAAGCCATCTGGGGCTACAGGGAGACCCTATCTCAAAAGACAAAGGAGGGAGGGGAGGGAGGGAAGGAGAGAGAGAGAAGAAAAAAGAAAAAAAAGAAAAAGAATCTAGCAAACTAAATCAGGACACATCCTTTATATCACAAAGAACACTTTATAATAATGGGAAATACTGAAGATGCTACTGAATTATGAAACGAGTCACAGGATACCCCAAAAGTATTACTCAACATTTTTATGACAGAAGCACAGGTGACAGCTACAAATATCAGAGACAAGACAGTCACTTGCAGCATTGAGAGAATCAGCTAGTGACAAGGGATACAAATATATTCATGACAGAGGTTCATATGGAATATACACATTCCCAAGAGGCTTCTACCCAACCAGTGACAGTTATCTGAAGCCAGGCCTAGAGGCCTGGTCTGTGCCCAGCCACAAACCGAGGCAAGTTCAAGGCCATCCTGAGCAACTCAGGAAGACTGTGTCTCAAAATGAAAGAGTAAGCAAACACCTGGGGTTCTGGCTCAGGGAGAACATGTACCTGGCAAGGCCCTAAGTTCAATCCCCAGTACCAGCAAATTTTTTCTTAAAAAGGAAAATTTACAGTAGCAGTGAGATCTAGGCCTAAGAATGATTAAGAGATGTATAAAGGAAATGTAAGGGTAAGTCCATAAGTCATTTCTGATGGGTGAAAGCAAACGTACTTGCTGTCAGAAGGGACAGTATTTTTTTCAGAAGGCCAGCATCATGTCAGTCTCTCCAGTTTAACCTATATATGACATGGTCTTTCTCTAAACAAAACATCATGGATTTGTTATAGGGGCAAGGCTTGTTATAAAATAATTGCTCCAGATATCATGGATAATACATACATCATAAAAACAGACTAAAAGAGCCGAGCCTGGAACTACAGTCTGTACACAGCCTCCATATAAATGGAAATTTTGCATATATGATAAGGATCAGATTTTTTTTCATTTATGTGTATGTGTGTGTGTGTTTGTGTGTGTGTATGCCACAGAGGCCAGAAGAGGGTGCTAGAACTGGAGTGACAAAAGGTTGTGATTCCCCTCCCGACACAGGTCTGGGAACCCAACTTAGGTCCTCTGGAAGAGGGGTAAATAACCACTCAGCCATCACTCCAGCCCCAGGGCAGATTATTTAATAAAGCTCTTTATAATGTTCTAATTCAGAAAAAAGAGAGACACAAGTTAACAGATGAGAAATAAGCATAGACTGAAGAAAGAAAATAGAGTAACTGTTCCATTGCTGTGGCAGACATTTTAAGCACCATCCATGAGGACAATTAACTGACCTCCTACAAATTCATGAAGCAAAAATAAACGATAAAACCAAACTGAAGACAAAAAGCTAAAGAGGAGACAGAGACCTAGATAAAACATTGTCATCCTGTGCAAGGAGGCATGGCTATCCTACCAAAACCCACAAGGGTGGTATGGATGTCTCATTAAAACACCAGAGGAACAGAGCCCTGCAACTCAGGCTGTGGAACCCATTGGACTTAGGCATTTACATACCAGGACTTTGAAGTTTATGAGTTCATTTTAGTTATAAAGGGAAGGGGCCATGATGAGAGATGTGGACCCTTGGAGCTGTCCACCACTGCACAGAGAAGCAAGAGTAATTTACTTAGGGAGGCCACAGGGGTGGCCATGGAGGGGTAGCCACGTAGAAGAAAACCAACTGCAGAAGCAGGCAGACAACCCCTCCCTGTTCCCCAGAGAGCATTAGAGAAATTCTGTAGAATAGAAGGAGAGGTGCCTGCATGGGGCTGACCACCGGGAATAGACTGGAAAGGGAAGTGTTCACATTGCTGACGGGCTGGCTGTGGATGAAGTTCTCAAACCACTGGGCTTTGACTTATCTATTTAGAGTTTATTTTTTATTTCTTATTCTCCCTGAAGGAAAATTTATCACATAGGCTACAAATAACCTAGAATATCACATTGTTTTGTAAATGTTTGGACAGCTGCAATTTTGTGTTTGCTTTGTCTACAGTTTATAGACACAGAAGATATTGTTATTAGCAAAGCACAACAGGGAGACCATCGTGTCAGTTTCTTCCTCTCCCGCTCCCTCCTTCCTCCTTCCTCTCCCATCTTCTTTTCTTCCTTCCTTTCTCTTTCATTTTTTGAGACAGTGCCTAGCTACCTGGTCCAGCTTTACCTTGAACTTATAATCCTCCTGCCTCAACCTCCCAAGTCCTACAATTACAGCCATTTATCACTGCCTCTATATTACATATGAAAGAGAACTCATCCACAAGAGGCAGCAAGCCAAGCAAATGCTTCAGAAAGCAATATAAACATCATCAGTCATGCTTTGAGTTTAAGAGAACAGACAAGGTGGGGAGACACACAAAGTGAATGGCCTTCTTGATGTCTCAAAAACTTACATAATAAAATCCATCTTCATCAATTTCACCAAAAACAGTAATAATATCTCCTGTGCAAAATGGAAGTTCAGCCTGAAAAAATGGAAGACAAAGTTAAGAGCATTTTGCTACAAAGTAGGCGTTTCAAAACCAAGTTCCTGATTTCTCCCTGTTTGGTATAAACCTCTTTACTCCACCAAATCAAGACGGAAGGTGTAAGGCTAAGGCAGGGAGGGCTTGAGACAAGCACTGCAGTGTTTTGGTTCCTGCCTGAGATTTTAGGTCATTACCATCTCCTGGTAAAGCTTGGGAAACTTAGTCCCATGGTTAACTCTACACACCTGGAAAACTGAGGAATGTTCCCTAAGAGTGAGGACCATTTATTAACACCCTAGCATGCCCTTATACTCTCTCACTCAACACTAAGAATCACCCAATTGTAGCACTAATTCAACACCCATCTTGTTAAGTGTCTGCTGAGTGTCAGTTCCTAGCCTGGGGATAGCAGACAGTGCTGAATACAAGTCTAGTGCCTGGGAGTCAAACTGCCCCCACGTTCTTCACACCATAGAGCCCAGCACAAAGAAACAGAAAGCTAGCTTAGGATAACTACAAGTGTGTGTATGTCTCTAAATATTAAAGTATAAGAATAAAGTTTACAAGCTGGCAGTTGTAAGAGGACACACAAATGCTGTGTGTGCAGGAATTCAGATCAGTCTGCTTACGGACAGTGGTCAAGGCCTAAGCATTATTTCTGAGGGAGAGTGGTGTTCTGCCTTTGTACCCCTGGGTGTTCAGCCATCCCAGGCTCATGCACCCAGACTACCAACCCTTCCTTTCTTTCAAACGTGTGTGAGGGCTCACTGGCCACACCACAGAAATTTTATTTCTATTTCTCTGCTAAAATGAATTCCATAATGCTCTTGCCAATAGCTGTAGAACAGAGTACTCTTCCAATAATGGTGGTGTGGAATCTGGATTTGCCACTGTAGCTGTCCCTGCCACCTCAAGACCTCCGGTCATACCTGCTAACTGCAGATAACACCACGCTCTACAAATGCCAGGCCTCTTTCATGCATACATCGCTGTGATAAGGTTTAACATGTAAGCTATAGAAACTATAAGCCAGGCACCCTAAGAGATTAATAATAAGTAATAATGCAACAGAAAAACTAGACATATGCTGTGTGTGGCTGCACTCTTCAGAGCAAACCCATGCAGGAGTCCAGAGTGACTCCCAGATGGGCAAGATGGGGAGGGACAGTGTAAAGGCCCACCATGTGACTGAGAACAGCCATGTGATACTCATCAGTGATTTCTGAGGTGTCCACTGACATTTTGGATCTCGTGACCATTGGTAACTGAAACCACCAATGGGGGTCTGCTGTGGCTGGTTGTGGCCCCTGAGAGTGTCATCCCCAAGGTGGCCAGCCGGTGGGTGTCCCTCCCTGTGATGCTCAGGAAAAAGGTCAAGAGGCCTAAGGGTACATGGCATGGTGCCTGTGAGCAGCTCAGCCAGCCTGTGAAGGTATGGGAGACAGTTCCAGGTCAGCATGAAACACCTCTGGATTGGTACCTCAACATCCACATTGGGCGAGCTTTCTCTTGGGTCATAATCGTAGAGAGCCACCATTCTTCGTGTGGGCACAGAGTGACCCCGACCACTTCTTCTACTTCTCTCTGAAAAACCACAAGAATTGGCTGTGAAGTTCTCTCAGAATCAGTGGTGACCCCATTCAGTGCCTGAAAGGGTGGATACAATCTCACAAATGCCTCTAGCTTGGGCCAAGTGCCTCAGTCTCCAGTGTTTGGTTTTTTGTTTGTTTGTTTGTTTGTTTGTTTGTTTTTTAGAATGGTCCGCTATGCCAGGGGGACTCCATGAGGTGGGGTCCCTCTCCCAAGGAGAATCCTAGTCTGAGGCACCAGGTAGCTTGGGAAGGCCCAGCAGGCACTGCGAAGCTCTGACAATTACAGGGGAAGCTGTTTCCTCTGTACTGAAACTTTCCTTCCTGGAAAGAACTAAGACTCATGGAACTCAAGAAGCTGAGGAAGCTGACTAAGGCTCAGAAGGTTACAAGACCCATGCAGCCCCTCCCCCATGTTATAGAAACTGTGAATAATTGCTGGGGAAAGGAGACTGCAGTGGAGCTGCCTGCAAGGTGCCCAAGGAGCTCCAGGGATGCAGATTTGTGAGTCTTCACCCATCACCCACACTCCTATAAGTAAATTCAATAAACTCACTGGCTCACTAAATTAGACTTGGGTAGAATGATGTCTTTGGTCTGTTGTTGGTCCTTATCTGGGGTAAACAGATGTTTGTTCAAGTCACCCCAGGAAAAGTTCTATAACCACCAACAGAGCTTCAAAAATGCTTGTCCTATAACTATAGTAACATAAGAAAAGTCAGCATCAACCTGCCATCTTTGAAGGTATCATTTCCAGAGACAGTGGAACAAGTAGATATCTGACTCTGGGTCCCTTGATGAGAATAAAAAGACATCTAGCATACTCAGTGTCACAGGTCACCCCACTGCTGCTCCACCGTCCATCCTTCAGATGTCATGGTCAGGGTGGATAGATCCTATTCTGTCTTTGAACCTGTCATGACTGACATCGGGAAGGCCAATTATAACTGTGAGAGGGAACAGATGGCAAGGGTTCACTCTGTCTTGTGGAATTCATGTGGACACTATGGTTCATGTTAAACCTCAGTTATTAGTTGTAATTATCTTGAGCTGTGCCTAGTAGTGCCAGCCCGGTGTCTGAGCTTCTCTGGAAGCTGAGGCAGGAGGATTGCAAGTTCAAAGCTGCTGGAATACAGAGTGAGTTCAATGCCAGACTGGATACCTTAGTGGAAACCCTGTCTCATAACACAGATGGAAACTGGCTGGGAATATGACTCAGTGGTAGAACACTTTCCTGGTGTGCATGAGGTCTTGGGTTTAATACCCAGAACTGCTAAAAAAAAAATTTAAGTTTATCAATGCCAAAAAATTGAAATGTTCTGATTATCCTTAAAAGTATTTCTGACTTTTCAATCGTTGGATTCTGTCTCTGTTTAGACGTTAGTCTAATATTGTGAAGTAGTAAGCCTTCAACAAGAACGACATAATACAGAAAGAGAAGCCTTTAAGCATGAGTGGGTTTTCTTTGCATGTGGGAAAAATTCAATGTCACCTGCTTCCAATTCACAGATGATAGTTTTCTCATTTTCTCACCAGTGTTTGCTGATTGACTCAAGATACCTGGGGGAGGGGGTCGTATTCCCAAAGGAACAGGCAAGGCTCTGCCCTACCTTTTGCAGGAGCAAAGTCCCCGCAGAAGCCAAGAGGTACAAAAAGACCCCATGGCTTTGGAAGTTTATCATGGTCAGGCTGCTGTGTCAAACATAGACCCCCAGCTCTGTCAATGGTTTGTTTCCTAGACTCAGACTCTTAGCAGGCAAGGCTTCACTTCTGTCAGAAGGGCATGTGTGTGTCCACAAATACTGGGGTGCACACATCCCTGAAACATGCAGGGGTGTAGCTGTCATGGCTTGCAAAGTGAGTTTACCTAGGACTAACTGGTAGCACCCTAAGGCGCTGCACCTCTTGAGCTGTGACTGCAGCTGCACCCTGTGGCTGCTGTGAACTGCCAGAGCTGCACAGCAGAGGCTGGGGGTGGGGAGGCGCTCACCTATTTTCTCCACAGGTGTGTTCAGAGGGAGGAAGCCTTGTCTCAGCAGCTGGTCCATCATCTCCTCATCATCCGCTTGGATCTCGGAAACCATGTTACAGGGAATGAGGCCAAGCCGGGCGCAGGTCTCCCCACGGTAGAACCCGTCTGCATCTTTATCTCCGTAGACCTGAAGCCATGGGGAAGACCAAAGCATTGCTTGCAATCAACGGCTCAGCCATACATCAGCCCCACTGACAGCAGAGTCATCTGTAGTCAAACGTGCTTAAAATGCATTTTTCAAGCTCCATCCCTGCCCTGCAGAAGTCACCTCACAGTCAGGGCTGTGTACAGGCACACTAGCCCTGTGACCACAGTTCTGCCTCTTCTCTCTCTTCCCCTTCATCTGTCTGCCTTCTTGAGGTTTAGGTGTCAGACATGAAACTTCTGGTTATAAAATTCAGAACCTGTCATCCGTTTCCCAGCTGCACAGGCTCTGACAAAACCTAAAGTTCTCAGGTGTGCAAGTGTGCATGGCAGGTGTGAGCACAGTCCTATAACGCAGGCAAATGAACATCATGCTCCTTTTTCTAGGTGAAGCAGAGGCAGCACCTACCCTGTGTTCAAGGCTGTCTCAGCCCTGAGCTGTCTCCTCTAATAGTCCTTCAGGTCAAAAGTCTACTGCCCACAGTTTTGAAACTCCTACTCTATCCTTGCGGTAAGTCTCAACCTGCCCCAGTCACCCTGCTCCCTGTTCCCAGCTCTGACATGGCCCAATTGCTGTCCCCACCTTGATGATCTGTCCTTCTTTGAAGGGAAGCTCTTCTTCAGCAGCATCTGGGTTTGGGGACATGGTGAGTGGGTCATAATCAAACAGAGCCACGAAGATACGGGCAGGGAGCTCCTCAGCACCGGGGTCAGTTTCCGACTCTTCATAGAAGTCTGGAGAAAAGTGGTCTCGCCCAGTATATTCATCTGGACCATGCGGGGGACAGAGCACAGAGGCCAGATGACATCTATGAAACAACTTGGGCACAATTCATGTGTGAAATGCAGACATGGAAAGGGTGGCCCCGAGTGCTCATCTCTGGGGTTAGCTTGAGGTCAGAAACTCATCCACAGCCCTGGGGTGGATTGCCCAAACAGGTGACTGTTTCAAAACAGGACGTCACTTCAATCCAAGCTCCACTGTGCATGAAAACTGTGGTCACAAGGGGCCTTGTGCCAGTGACTCTGACAGAGGAGTGTGTGGGTTCTATAGATATGCAGAAATGACCCCCATATGAGGCCCCTTAATGCCCTCCACAGGTGCTGAACATGCTCCATAGAATGCAAGGCTAATTACAAGGATGTCTAACATTCATGATTCAGAGTTCAGTATGGGTGTCCACACTGTTTACCCAGCTCTACATATTTAACCAACAGCAGACACACTCTTCATGGAAGAGAATTAGTGATTTCCCAGGGTTTGAATGTGATCCTTTTGGAACCTAATGTATTTGTGTGTGTGTGTGTGTGTGTGTGTGTGTGTAATGAGTATATGTGCATGTATGTCTATTGGTACATGTATGTATATATATGTGTATGTGTATATGTGTATGTTACACGTATATGTATATGTATGCATATGTGTATGCATCTGTACATGTGTATATCACAGGCTGTATAGTTGTCCAACTGTACCTGCAAGAAATTTGTTAAAGACTGAACTCTGTGATAACTCCATCCCTTAAGTAAGATGGCAAATAGACCCTACACACTTCCTCCTGGACACTTTGAGTGGCTCCAGGGTACTTCCAGCACAGTGCCAGTGCCCTGCAGGTAGCTGTCCTACTGTATCATGTAGGGAATCATGACAAGAACAAACAGTGTGAGCATGTTCAGTACAGGTGCAACTCTTCAGACATTTTCTACACAGTTGGTTATATCTGAGACATGGAATCTGCAGATCGAAAAGGACTACTGTAACATACACATATGTGTGTTTTATAGAGAGAGACAGGCAGGTGACAACAGAGGCTGTATATAAATAATATCCTGATCCTGTGAGGTCTTGGCACTCCAGTGGGAGCTGAAGTTGGCAGGAGGGAGAGTGTTGGAAAAGCAGCCAGGCCCAGATAGTAATCTCTGGCATGTCACCCAGGCAGTGGCTGGGGATGTCACAGGTGTACAGAGAGACAGGATAGGTGGTTGGAAGAGCACCAAACAGGGTAGCTTTTTTCACCAGCCAAATAATAGCAATTTAAAGATGCATGCCTGCATTGTGAAGCACATCTTCAGTATCCCTGTAAGTTCAAAGTCGCCTTTTTTGTCCTGAGATCATTGAAAGTCAATTCAGCAAATTTCTACAATATGTTTGACCCTGCATGCATACATTAAACATCACATTGAATGCCTTAAATATAATTTTTAAAGATCTACTTTTATGTTGGGTCTGGGGGGTATGTACACATGGGTACAGTGCCTGAAGAGGCCAGAAGAGGGAGTTGGATCCCCTGAAGCTGGAGTTACATGTGGTTATGAGCTGCCTAGTGTTGGTGTTGGGAATTGAACTTGGGTCCTGTGGAAGAGCAGCCCCCAAAACATATAATTTTATCTATCACTTATTAACAAATATAAGAGTTAAAGTAAAACATTATAGATTTAAAACTAAGTAGGAGTGAGAAATCCCACCTCCTTCCTCTTTCTGCCTCTGAAGCACCACACCTTGAAGCTAGGCCACTGCCTTCCAGTCCTGGCATTTGCTCCTTTATTATTCATGTATGAAAACAAGCTTTGCATGTGTGTGTCTACAAATAATTTTCAGGAACCCTAAAGACATAAAAAATGATACTAAAGTAAAATGCCCGTACACTGCAGGAGAGACTGAGTTTTAAACCAAGTGAATGTGGACACGTGGGATCCTTCCAGTTGCAGATGCTCCATGTACCAATGCTCATTTGTTGTTCTGTTTTCTGAGGTGCTTTAACTTCTCTACAGCTCATTTTGCTAATTTCTTCATTGTGGCTTCTGCTTTGTTGATGCTCAATGAGAGGACTTGATTCTCTGAGCTTCAATATAATCTGAACTAAGCTCAGTGAAGGGGGCTGAGTAGACAGCAGCCTTGAAAACCCCAAATTCATTCTCAGAGAATGACATGTGGAGCTCAGGCAGCTTTGAGGCCTTGCACTGAATCCAGCTGGAATTGATGATGGGAACGTCATTTCCTACTGCAGAACATGGTAGAAGGAAGTTTCAGCTCCAGAAATGACCCAGGAATCAGAACTCTGGACATGGACTTGACCCACTTGATGCCTTGTGGCACCATCGTGGACAGCAAACCCCTGGGGTCAGGAGCTGAGTGTGAGCCTTAGGTGAAGGGCTGCGGCCAGCTTGCCCTGGAACATGCCGTAAGTCCTCTCTGGTGCACAGGAGTGCCTTTGCTCAAGAGCAGCTTTGCATGTCATGAATGACAAATTGTACCTTTATGTCAGAGTCCAAAGTCACATTGAGCCTAAACAGTGGTAACCACACCACAGAAGACTCCGAGGCAAAGAGATAACAGCTCTGCATTCTCCCATGGAGGGCTCCTTCCTGGGGAACTGAACTGCCCATACTGTGAAATTCAGTCAGTGTTTGGGGACATGGAGGTGCAGGTGGGTTGAGCACATGCAGCTGGCTGTACATGGACTCCTGTACTGGTGTTCCTCTGGGGAAGATGGCCCAGAGAACTGGTTTAGGTAGAGGACAGTGGCTGCTGTGAGAAATGTCCATAGGGCCTAGTTGTCCAGGGAGGACAGGCAGACAACAGGAGGAGGCACTTGTCCTCCAGGGTGGCAGACTAGTGCAGGGAACATTCTCCTCCATTGAGGTCTGGTTCTGGAGGGAGAGGGGACCACCCTTTCCCTGTGGGGGCCACCTTCCCTGGCAGGAAGAAGGAGGATCTGTGTACAGCACCCAACACGTGTGTATGAGGTTAGCTTCATGATTCCTAGCCCCAGCCAGCTCCTGAATCTACCCTGCACATGGGAATGCCACTCTCAGCCATGCCTGAGACCCGCTACTGTCACTGTCCCTGTCCCTGTGGTTCTGGAGAGGAAGGGCATCATCTAAGACATTGTCCACAGCATGCAGCTTTTCCTTGGAAATGTGGGGACAAACTCTATTTTGAAGGGCTAAATTTTGTTGATCTATTTATCAGTCTTTCCTCTGTGGACAAAGGGTGTGCTGTATTCCCTTTTGGTAAGCTCAGTCGTCAAACAACCCAGAGAATGGGAAACCACGGGGGAAGGGGGACTTCAAGTCAATTTGTGAGGCAGCATCCGTTACAATTGGATGGGCAGGGATCATTCATTTTCATAAGGGTGATCCCTCAGGCCTTGTGTTTGATAGGCAAATAACCAAATTAATGCAAAGGCTAAAAATTCTTCAAGGAAAATGAAGCCCAATTAAATGTCTTTGGACACTGGGTGTCATTAGACAGGAAACCATGGAGCTTCTCTTTTGAACTCATGTAGGGCATGGTTTACTTAATATTTTTTTTTTTTACTTTTAGAAATCAGAGAACACTAACAACTACAATATTTTACTTAATTATGAATCCATTGTCTATTAAGAATATGCTCAAGGCCAGGCACGGTGGTGCACGCCTTTAGTCCCAGCACTGGGGAGGCAGAGGCAGGTGGATCTCTGTGAGATCAAGGCCAGCCTGGTCTATACAGTGAGTTCCAGGCCAACTAGGGCTACAGAGAGACCCTGTCTCAACCTGCCCTCCCACCAAAAAATGAGTATATGTGATATGTGGAGTTCATTTCCTCTGAAAGAGAAAATTTATACTTTGGGAATATAGATTTATACAATACCAATTGCTACTATTTTAACATAAAAAGAGAATTGAGTGAGGACCCCGAACTCCTGGTCACATGTCACCGAGCCCTTAGCCTGATGGTCTGGCGTTCCTCTTGGAGGGTGACAGACACATTGCAGGGATGTTTCCTTCTGAGGTATTCGCAGGCACTGAGGTTTGTCTGTGAACATACTGACACGCAATAAAGAGTACTGGGTTTAAACTGCGTTTTTCACGTGCTTTCTTGAGTAGCTACAGGAACTGGGTAGAGCTAAAGGAATGTCACAGGTTTGTACTTGATCAAGCTTCAGGAGATATGGTCTTTGTTACATAGCATTACTCTCTTTGGGGTCAATCTCATAACTGTCTTATGAACTTCACACATGGATGCAGACTTCTGAGATTTTCACCACAAGAAGAGTTCAGACAAACCATGCATGAGGTATGACAGTAAGAGCCCCTGGCAGGACAGTGCAGGTAGCCACTGGATCTCAGTGATGAGGGCACCTGACATGCCTATGGGAGCAGGTTGTCCTTCCTCTCCTTCTCGCCAAGCCTATGACTTGCGGTAGTGCAGTCTTCATTCTTGATCTGGGAGATTGGACTAGAAACTCTGCCTTACTTCCTCAAAGGACATACACATGTCTTAGTGTCCATAGGAATGTCCATTCCTACTTGTGGAATTCCTGCTCTGTGTGTGTGTGTGTGTGTGTGTGTGTGTGTGTGTGTTCACAAAAACCTGGTTTATTTTGGCTTGCTCCTAGTCCTTGCTGTCTTGTGAACATTATTTCTCAGAATTGCTGCCTCCATGATATCATGTCAATGGCAGAAGCATCCTACCTGACCTGCAGCCACCCTCCTTAGCCCAGCTTGATGATAAATGACCAAATGACAGCTTTGGGTACTACTGACTGAAAAATAAAAAGTAAGTAAAAGGAAGAGTAAGAGAAGGGAGCCTGGTGCCATGACATGGGTAGAGGGAATGGAAATGGGTTGGATCCTGTGGAGCAGTGGCCAAATGGAGACACTTCTAGCCTCCCGGTGTCCCCATGACCTGTATCAGCATGACCTATGCACACAAATGACTATATCACCCAGGACTTATCTGGCTTTTTTGGTGTATATTTAGCAGTCAACTCAGTGTCTCCCTCTACAGGGCTTGTACCCTGGGTACCCCCAAGAGCTGGTACCCATGGTTCCCTTGAGTCTACACTGGGGAGCTTCCTGCAATGCACAGCAGGGTGAAGATCTTAATCACAAGGCCATGACAAGGGGAGAATACTTACAAGCAGAGTTTATCTCAGAGTTTTTGTGTTTAGTTGAAAATGCTATTTGTGATGGTAAATCTTGATTGACAACTTGATTGTACTGAGAAGGTCCTAGGAGATTACTAACACACACCTCTGAGTATGTCTGTAAGGGCATTTTCAGGATTAATAATGAGAGGAGACCCACCTTCAAGGTAGGAATGTGAGTGGTGCCATCCCAGAGGCTGGGAGTGGATGGAGTAAAGAGGGAAAAGAAGAAAGCCAATGACTCACCTCCTTCCTCTTCCTCCCTCCCTCTTCCTCTTCTCCTTTCCCTCCCCTCCTTGCCCCTCTCTCTGTCTCTCTGATTCTCTCATCCTCTCCTCTCCCTCTCCCTCTTTCCTCACCTCCACCCCCAGGCACCACAATGTGAGCTGCTCTGTCTCTCCCACACCCTTTCTTCCATGGCAAACTGAAGAAGCCTCCACACCTTGAGCCCAGGTCCTTCCTTCTTCTTTTAAGTTTCCCTCAGGCATTTTGTCACAGGGATCAAAGAACTAACACACAATTCCTGAATTGTTTTTAAGTGTTTGGACTGAGAATTAAGCAATTGTACACTGTGTGGTAGACAGAAAAAGACATTGATTAGGCCACTAACCAATGGATGGAGCCATCGGCCGGTGCCTCATTTGAGGACCTGCACTGCCATGAGAAAACCTCCGGCCCACGTGATCTGCCCGGTCCACTCGTCCTGCGGATGCTGGGTTTCCTAAAATCTAGACAGAGAACAACAGCATGGTAAGCGTCTCCAGCCTCCAGAGGGAAAACACGAGTTAGCCAAATCAATCCGATCGGAAGCAGAAGCTCTAAAGGCAACTAAACTTAGCTTTTAACTGAAAGGTTAGCTGAATGACCTGCAGAGAAACAAGTTGGATCCCTGGGTCCCAGCTTTCTATATCAGGGTCACTTCTGGACACACTACAGTAGGGTTAGGGCAGAAATGAGCTGTGAGAGGGTCTTTTGGTTTTAGCCAAAGTGACAATGGTTTGCCCCTCTGGACACCTTTCATGTGGGTTTTCTCCTGGCTTTGTTGTCCCACCCCCCAGGTGCAGTACCAGCAGGGACACGCCACACATTTCCAATGTCCAATGTGATAGAAGCTGTGTGGAGGGTTCTGGTAACTCGGAGAGAAGTACCTATTTTTAATGTCTGGATCATGTATCAAATACAATGAAGCCTTGATTATGCTCCGGGGCTAACCTGAACCTGAATAGGCCTACTATCTAGAGAGGTCTACCTCTCCTTTGTTTTGGTTTTTGAGACAAGGTCTCACTGTGTAGACCAGACTGGCCTCTATCTCAGAGGTCCACCTCCCTATGCCTCCCAAGTGCTGGGGTGTGCTACCACATCTCAGCTCAGAACTGACTAAAGGGAAGAAGCTCACTAAGAATCGGGTTGACCAAGGTTGTTCTTGGGACACAGGAGCCTGAGACTGTGGGTGAGACTGAACTTCAGTGGCAGGAGCACCGTAGGTGCAGGCAGCGCCGGGTGTGGACACATTTGCAGAGTGAATGGCTCAGACTGACGCCTGGCACCTTGCTGGTGGCACAATGACACATTCTGCATGGCAGCAGTGGATGTTCTGGAAAGAGGACAGATACAGAAATGAATGAAGCCTTCGATGAAGCCTTGCTCCAGAAACCCACTAACAAGCCCAGACCCTAGGTCAGGGACATATCTGTGGCTAGTAACAAAATTCATTCTGAAAACTGGTGGATAAAGAGGGGAAAAATAGAAGGAGAGGGAAACCTTGGAAACAATATACAAAAATGAGCATCTTCCCTAATTACTCCCCATTAACTTATAGATGAAAAGAAAAAAAAAACTTTAAAAGGCCAAACAAGGGGGGAAAGGTTTTGATCATATCAGCAATAATATGTGTGCCCCTGAAGATCATTTCAGAGGGAAAAAAATGTGTTGTCAAAGTTTTAGACACTGGCAGTTCAGCTAACCCTTAATTAAAACTTAGATTCAGTTGTCCTTTAAGTAAAGCAGCCGTAATCATCGCTGATTCCATGAGGGAGATCGTTACTCTAAAGCAAAGGAAACCTTCGGATGGTCAAGCAGTTGGGAAGCGATGGGACTGAATAAATCAAAAATGCAGGGAGAACCAAAGAGAGCGGCCCAGAGATTCCCCGATGCACGCCAAAACCCGAAACCACAGGCAAAACCAACGGAAGGGTGAGCACGGATTGGTTTGGCAAGCGCACGTGGGGAGCACGGTTACTTCACACACCAAAGGGCCGTCTGCCACTCGGGGAGGAGGCTGTGCGTGCCGGTCAGCTGCCCTACTGTCGGGCATGGCTAGGCTTTTCCTCCAGATACCCCGAAACTCTTCGTGGTCGCTGGCCTCGTCCCAGCCATCCCTCCTGGGCATGGGCCTCTCCAGGCTGGGCTGGGTGTCATCCCTCTTGATGACGTCACTGGGGTCCACCTGCTCCCCAAAGTCCTCTTCGATGCTGCTCTGCCGGGTCAGCGTCCGCCGCCGGGCCAGCAGGGGCCTTGGGCTTCTCCTACAGGGACAGTGGCCAGGGCCTGGGCTGCATTTGGCCGTGGCGCTCCTGAAACTAAATCGAGACTCTTCCTCCTCACTGCCACAGTCCAAACCACTGTCCGGGCTCCTGGTGGCCGAGCGGCTGAACCGACAGCCTCTGTCTTCCAGAAAGAGGTCCTCCATGTGGATGCCCGAGCCCCTGTGCTCTGCAGGGTGCCAGGATCCCTGTAGGATGGGATGTCCCCAGCAGGGCCGGGCTGACCCGCGCTCCACAGCCAATAGGGCCCTGGCTCGGGAGGACCCCATGCCCTGCCTGAGCAACGGCTCGCCATGCTCGGTGTCCTCCTCCGCTACCTCAGGGATACTGAACAGTCTCTTACTGCGGTGGGGCTGCTGGGGGAACTCGGGCTGTTCCAGGAAAGCGCCTTCCGAGCTCCTAGTCTTATGGCATTCCTTGGGGGTAGCATGTGTGAAAGAGCGGTGTATGACCAAACATGAGGCAGCAGAGGAAGGAGAGAAAACACACACAGAATTAGTCTCGGCAGCGAGGCGGGGACAGCAAGGCGGCCTCTGTTCATGGGGACCGGCATGCCTGCTGGGGCTCTGGGATGGAGCAGATGGACCACATGGTGGTATAGAGCGAAACTGCGGGACAGCACACAGAAGAGCCAGCCAGGACGTCAGGAACAGACGCCATGCGGGTGAACCAGAGGGAGGAAGGGTGCCAGATGTGAGGCCAGGGGCTCCTGGGCCCATGCCTGGTCCTATGCAGTGGAGGTGTCCAGAATGGGAAGATCTGTGTCTACCACCCTGACTAGTTCCTTGCAGCCCAGGGACAGCTGCTCCTGAATGCCAAGTGTGACTGGGGATGGCCCCACTGTGTCTCTGTCTATTCATGTGGACTGTTTTCCTTCCTAGCACTTAGCAACCAATCACTTTCCTCCCCTCAGCTAAAGTGTAAGCCACATGAGGCGACTTATCCTATTATAGCACACCGGTGGTCCAGACCCTGTGGCCAGTTGGTGCCTGCAAGGGACTGAGGTCATCTGCCTCTGTATCAGAGATTTGCCGCATCTGGCCTCAGCACCTGACAAAGAGCTGGCCGCTCCTGAAGGTCACTACATAAACACTCCTGCACCCATCTTCAGGTCTCCACATGAACAATTCTCTCTGCCAGGTCCAGCCTTCAGCCTCTGCCTCTCCTTGAAAGTCATGTGGTGCCAACGGATACTTCACAGTCTCTCATTTGGGGAGCTGTGGCTGACTCCATAAAATCTGCTTTCATCTTCTACTGATTGATCTCTGGGGGTACACATTACTGATTAGTCCTGTCAGCTTCTGTGATGGCCTGGCCAGCTGCTCCCACTGGTCTGTGGGTACCTTGAACTCAGGATCCATGTGGGATTTTCCTAGCTCAGTTTCTTTGTATGCTTGGGACTTGCTACCTATGCCAGGTGTGGGGGCAGGTGGTACAGGCTCATGTATCTGTCTCTTTCATAATGCCACATTCAGGAGTGTTTGTGTTAGCCATGCTGAGCACTATGAAGGTTAAGGATGAAAGCAGAGAATGTGGGTAACAGGTATCTTCCAGGGCAGGCAAGTGAGCTGAGCCAGTATGGGGTAGAAGGTCAGTCATGTGCCTGATATTTATCCAGCAGTCTGAGCTAATGGGAAACCTGGACTGGCATAGTCAGACACTGACACATGGGATTGGGAGGCCAGTGTGGCTGGAGCTCTCAACTGTACCTGACAATTTCTACAGAGAATATATTTTATTATTTTTGTTTTATGTGTATAAGTGTATTGCCTGCATGTATGTGAGTGCACCCGTGTCGTGCAATGCCGTGGAGGTCAGAAGAGGGCTTCAGATTCCCCTGGAACTGGAGTTAAGGACGGTTCATAGCTGCCATGTGGGTGCTGGGAATCGAACCCAGGTCCTCTGTAAGAGCAGTCAGTGCTCTTAACCGCTGAGCCATCTCTCTACAGAGAATATTAAAATTCACAATTGCCTGTAAGACCCCCCAGCTTTCTTAAGACAGTAAGTAGATGCTTGGCATACACTTGTGGCTACCTCATTCACTCTTCCTGACACCTTGCTTTGCTATTTCTAAGAGGCTGAGATGTGGACTGGGCTGCACCCCATAGCTTTACATCACCCTTGCTTGCCCCAAGGGCCTCCTCCAGAGGAGATGAGGTGCCTTTCTGTCCTTTTGCTAAGCAGCTCTCAGGCAGCAGCCTCCAGTATCTTCCCCTGTCCAGAGGAGAAGCATATAGAAGGTGGGAAACAGAGGTTTACACCTCCCCTGTCCACCCATGAGCATTTTCAGGGTAGCTTTTGCTCTGGGGCACAGCCTGGGGCATGTAGGGGTCTTGGACTTAAACCTGTGTGGGTCTTGCTGGGATGCTACTCTAAGCTGGGGAAGGGGGCACTGGGAACAGCATAAGCCACACCGTGCAGGGCCTAATAGAGGTTGGCATGTTCTGTGGTGACAGGAGGTCCCTACGGCTGTGCTAGGGCCTTTGCTGAGAAAGTGTGTCAGTCTTATCTATGCACAGAGGCCCTAAGCGGGCAAAAGGTTGGAGGTTGTCTTTCTGACCACCAAAATGCAGGGTGATGTGGGCCTGTAGGAATGAGTGCAGGAGGCTTCACCCCCAGAAGCCATCATCCTCTCCAGGGCCTTCTTGTAGAAACCATTGGTGGTCCCTTTGACCCACCACCAGACTGGGAATTTCTGGGGGAGAACCTGTTACCTTCTAGTTATAGGGCTGGTACATAGAGGCTACCATCAGCTCACACCACTGAATGGACAGAATCAATTCAGGAACTGGTCACATCTGCCCATCAGCAGAGGCAGGGCAGAGAAGATACTTGCTGGACTTCAAGGGCCTCAGACTCAGTTCTCATGAAGTAGCCATCCCTCCATCCTATCCCCAGTGGCCTCTGTCTAGATAGGTTATGTGGACTTTGTTCTGAAGTGGGCCCATGTGATGGATTCAGGAGCACACTGCTCTGTGACCAGGCCTCCTCTGGCCTCACCTGCTTGTCTCTGACCTATGTGGATTCCTCCTCTGATCAAGCACTGTGTGACACAGTCCTACACTGCAAGCTCAATGCTAACTGGAACCTGTGCCTGCTCTCTGAGCACATAAGGCTTGGGCTAGTTCTCTTGCTTCCAATTCAATTCCCACCACAGTGCTGGATGTCCCTGAGGGAGCCAAGTGGATCCCCCAAACTCTAGTACCCAGACCTTTTCGCAAAGTGGACAGAAGCTACAGGTAACCCGTGAATGTAGCTGCAGAGCAGCCCCAGCAAAGGAAGAGCTCTGAGAGGCTCGGAGCACCCTGTCGGGAGCTCGTGCTCACCTTGAGGGCATTGTGGGACGTGCCACTAGGCCGACGCCGGCCTCCATCCTCCAGCTGCATCTCTGAGTACAGCTCCTCCTCGTCCTCCTCCATGATGTCTGAGAGGTCGGACCCCCGGCTGCTCTCTGTATGATAATCGTCTCCATGACAACAGTGGGGCTGTGGCCAAAAAGGAACATGGATAGGGGTATGCTCTCCACTCCACAGGCTCCTCCTACACACCACAGGCTCCAAGGCCATCCTCCCTGGGTCTTCCCTGACATCTCACCCCATGTGACACCTGTCCTGTCATGTCCTCTTGTATGACACAGTACAGACGGGTACACATGGGTGTCTTGGCCCTCAGCCATCAGAGTTGACAATGTCAGGCAGGATTCTCTGCCAAGCCAGTGAGATGCAGAGACCAACACAATGGAAGTATAGAACTTGTCATGTGTTGTCAGTGCAACAGGAGCCCTGTCTCCTCCAGAGCCCAGGCTCTCCATTCCTTTCAGAATAGAATGCTCTGTGCCATTCTGTCCTCTCTGATACTTAAACAAGGTTGTCCTGTGTCAGATTTTGTTTTCATTACTACCAACATGAGCTCTGCAGGCAGTGTACCCCAACACCTTGGTACATGGGCTCTACAAGTGGGAAAAGAGGATCCAAGACCCAGGACCTCAAATTTCATGATACACTTTAATGAAAACATCATTATGAAGCCTATCACTGTGTATAACAATAGGCACCCATAAACTATTTAAAAGCAAAATTCAGAGGGTTTTTGGTACCATGGCAGTGCCGAGACACAACTGCCTGGCAGCACCTTTTGATGATTACAACCATGACAGGGGAAGTCAGCCACAACTCACCTACAGACTACCCACTGCCTTGGACATCAAATGTAAGGAGGAGCTGTGCTGGTTAGTTTTAATCATCAACATAATATGACCTAGAATCACCTGGGAAGAGAGTCTTAGTGAGGGATTGTTTAGATCAAGTTGGCCTGAGGGCATGTCTGTGGAGGACTGTGGGAAGACCCAGCCCACTGTGGGTGGCACTGTGTCATGGGTCAGGCCCTGAACTAAAGAGTGACAAGAGCCAGCTGAGCACCAAGCATGCATGCATGCCTTTCTCTCTGCTCTTAACCGTGCGTGTGATATGACCAGCTGCTTCATGTTCCTACCACTGTGATTTCCCCACAATGATGGACTGTGACCTGGAATTGTGAGTTAAAACAGACTCTTTCCTGCCCCAAGTTGCTTTTTGTTAGGATATTTTATCACAGAAACAGAAATGAAACCAGGACACTGGCTTCCCATCAGCTCCAGTTGTGGCTGATGGCTCAGTTGGTGGTGCAGATGGGGTAAAGCCACAAAGACTTGCTTTTACTAGACAGGTGGATGAAGAACTCCTCTTTATTTTGCAGGTGGGCGGCAATAAAGATGCATTTAATAGCATCTCAGGACAGGTTTACTGAAAATACATGTCTCAATTGATAGCCTAGATAAACATACAAGCACATAGAGTCACAGTAAGTCATGGTCAACTGAGGAGAGGCCTGGTGAACTACAGGCAGGATACCCTGCCCATAGTGCAACTCTACAGGGTGGATGGCAGCGATCTACAGGGTGGATGAAGCAGTCTGCAGCACTAGCACCTGAGCCTCTAGCCTGAATCTTTTCCTTCAAGCACCAAATGGAAGAAATGAGCTGGATCTTGGTTAGGCTTGGTTTAGTTTGCCATTTTTCTTTCTCTTTCTTTCTTTCTTCCTTTCTGACTGCTTGTCTTTTTTGTTTGTTTGTTTGTTTGTTTGTTTGTTTGTTTCTGAAGTGCTGGGAATTGAGCTCTGGACTTTATGCATGCTAGGCAACCATTTTTTATATATTAGCTCTTTACACCACTGAAAAGTACTCTACAAGAACATAGCTGATAAAAAATCAGAGATAACAGGGGCTGGAGAGATGGCTCAGCAGCTAAGGGCACTGACTGCTCTTGGAGAGGACCCAGGTTCAGTTCCCATCATCCACACAGCAGCAAACAACCATCTGTAACTCCAGTTCCAGGGGATCTGTCACCTTCTTCTGGCCTCATGGGCATTGCATAACAGGAGTTCACTTACTTGCAGGCAAAAAACTCATACACATATAATAAAAATAAATTTATTTGAAAATCAGAGATAATACTGGACAGGGAAATTTCCTCCTGGGTCTCACACTAATACTTTGTTGCTCTGAGTGGTGAATGCCAAGCCTTTTGTTCTTTAATCTCTCATGATGCCTTGTACATAACAGATATTCACCCACCATTGCCAAACTGGGGGCACAGGGGTGAACATGCAGGCAGAGGTTTCTCCTAAATAAAGACCAGGTGTTATCTCTGGATTACCCCAACCCAACCTGTGACTAGCTTTAGCACAGAGCAGGGGTAGTCAGCCTCCCATTGAGACTTCTATAATTTTCTCCATACATTCATGCTCACAGGAGTGCCTGGTATGACATGATAACCTTAGTTGGCATCTCTGCTCTTTCTGTGGACCCAAGGCAAGTGGGGGCAATATCCCATGCCTCTGGATTTCCATGCAACCTATCCAAAGCCACTGCCAGCCAGGTGAGGCTGGATGTTCTCACCTGCTTGCCTAGCTCTGACCCTTTCAGGAAGTCATCCACTGACATGCCTCTCCTCTTGACCTCAGGGGAAGCATAGCCATCCTCTTCATCAGAGTTAGCATACTGCCCTGCACTGCTCCGCTCCAAAAAGAGACTCCTTTTCTCTAACTTGGAAAGAGAAAGAGACAAAGATGAGTGGGACTATCAAGGGGATCTTGAGAGCATGAATGCCCCATCATCGTACTTGGCTCTGAGGGCTGAAGGGGGCAAGGAGGTGCCCCAGGGGTGTCCTAGAGAGGATCTCTCTCTTCTCTTCTTTCTCTCTCTCCTATCCCTCTCCCTCTCCCTCTCTCCCTCCTCCACCCGCCCCCCCCCTGCTTCAGGCTGGAACTCTGCAATGAGGGAGAGGAGGTCTTGCCCCTTGCCCAGTTCAGGAAGACAATCTCAAGCCAAGGTCCAGCAGGCAGTCCTGTACCTGCTCAAAGCTTGCTTCTAAAGACAGAGAGTGCCTGCATTCCTTTGATTCTGTATCTGCAAACTAGAGACATTTGCAGTTGATTGGACCCAGCACAGAACACAATCCCAGGAGAAGGGGAAGGAAGTTACATTCAGCATCCTTCCTTCTGCATATGCCAGCTCTGGAGTGCTCTCAGGCAGCTCTGTCTCTACCTTCTGGGCTCAGGGACAGGTCATGCACCATCCCAAGAGCACAGGGACCAACCAACAAGGAGCACCCCGCTTACCCTGCTGCTCTCGGCCACCCTCTGTGCAGCTTCACGGGCCATGGCCTTGGCGACAGTGGTAGACACAGGAGTTCCCTGTGGCTGAGGGAGGATCCGGCTGGGTGAAGGTGACCTTCTGCCAGGGCCAGCACTGTGCATATCGGGTGGTTCCAGCATACGGCCATGTACAGGGCCAGCTGGCCTGCTCTGTTCCCAGGACTCATCCACTTTGGCGTGGGGACCCAGGTGTTGGTCTTTGGTATCCGGGGCACTTGCTAATGGCTTTGGTGGGGGAGCAGTCCTCGGGTGGGGGGCTGGAGGCACCAGGAGGTCAGGGGGGACGGCAGCAAGGGCAGAATCCATAGACTCGCCCTGGGCAGACAGGGTGCGCACGCTTACAGTCTTGGCCTCCAGGCTCCGCAGCCGAACCAGCTCCACTGTGGTGCTGTCAGCAGTGGGGAAGATAACTTCTGCCACCTGCACACAAAGAAGGACATGTCACAGGCTGCCAGCACGTGCTGAACCAACAACAGCCTCTCCTGCAGCCCGATACCTAGTAGATGCACCCCACTGTGACATCTTGCTCAAGCCACCAATGGAACTGACAAAGTCAAGGAGGCTCCAAGAGCCCAAGACCCAGGTAGCTGTGAGGTCGATGAAGCAGAACCTTCTTCCTCCATCTCTGGACCAGATGCAGGGCCCCAAGGGGATCCAGAAGCAAGCTTGCTTATTGCCACAGGGGAGGGGGATGGGAAGAGCAAATGGACCCCCCCCCCGTGTGCAGAAGGTCTGCCCTGGGGGAGCTTACAGCCTACAAGAGGTGGCTCATTGGAGAGAGGACTGAGGCCCTCACTCCCAAGTCAAGCAACCCAATCTGTCACCCAAGGGAAGAGCAGGGTAGGCACAATGGGCAGAGAGCAGACACTTTCTAGAGACTTCCTGGGGGCAGAATTTCTGCTCCACAGGCCAGGACAGGGGTGGCAGGCTTGGATGGTGGTCCACCCCAGGACACCAGAGGTGCATCTGTTTCCCAGAATCTCGGTCTGATCACCTGCTAATATACCAGTCCTGGAAGAGTTCCTAGGCAAAGCTTACATTGGCCTTCACGTCAACTTGCTAAGAAGCAGTCTGTTAAAACTGGTAAGCCAGTCACTGACTGAAAGCCTGATGTTGGGGACTCAGTTGGTGAGATGTCAATGCTGAATGGAGCAGGCATTGGCAAGGGAGGCAGAGGATGCTGGACCCAGGAGGGGACCAAAGTAGGATGGCATATCCTCACTCTCAGACATATGGTAGACATACACCAGGGTGGTGCCTAATAAATGCTGCTGGAGGCTTGAAGGTGGAAGATTCACCCCTGAATGGAGCTGCCCCTTCCACACTGAGCCTGTCCCTGTAGGGGTACAGCTTCACACTGGAATACTCACCCTCTGCCCTTTGGCGTACACACCATAGCCTGTGACATTTGCCCCATTGGACAGTCCAGTGGAAGTCAGTGCAGGGGGCTTCCAGGAAACCTGGATGGCAGCTGCTGTAGCCCCTGCTTGGACAGTGACATCTTGTGGTGGGGCTGGGGGGCCTAGATGGAGAGAAGGTACAGAAATTGTCAGAGCATGACCTTGGGCCCTTCGGTACTTGGCCTATCACACCTGGAAATGGAGCACTCCTTATGGCTGGCAAGGAAAAGAGACAAGGAAGAGGGAGGAGAGGAAAGGGAAAAGGAAGAGAGGAGAAGAGGAAAGGGGAGGAGAGGAGGGGAAGGAGGAAGGACAAGACAGGACAGAACAGGACAGGACAAGGTGGGATAGGAGGGAACAGGAGACAGAGTGCTAAAGGAAAATGAGTGCAGAGAAAGCAGGCAGAAGCCAGAGGTGGGGAAGGCAGGCAGTCAGACCAACCCAGGAATCATAGCTCTGCTGCTTTGTCAGAACTGGCATTTATTCACCCACTTCTGGGAAAGGGACCCACTCTGCTTCCATGGAGCCTTCTCTCACCTGCTTTCAGGCCATGATTAGATAGAGCTCCTTCTGCCAGGGGACTTGAAAACCAGGCAGCCAAGGGCTCCCGAGGAGACTTCTCAACATGCCTCCCCTCCCTGCCCCTCCTTTTCCTCCTCTTCTCTCCCACTTCTTCCTTCTCCTCTTCCTCCTCATCTTCCTCCTCCTTCCTATGCTCCTCCTCAATTTGTTCCACCTCCCCTTCTTCTTCCTCCTCTTCCTCCTCTTTCTCCTCTTCCTTCTTCCTACACTTCTCCTTCTTCTTCCTACTCCTCTTCCTCCTCTTCTTTTCCTCCCTACCCTCCACCTCTTCATCTTTCTTTTCTCTCCCTCTTCTTCCCCTTCTCTTCTTTCTCTTCTTCCTCCTACTTCTTTTTTCTTCCTATTCCTCTTCTCATTTTACTGTCTGCCTCTCTCTCTCTCTCTCTCTCTCTCTCCTTTTGCTCTCCCTCTCTCTCCTTTTCATCATCAGACTCCAGAGACAGCAAACCTGGACCTCACATCACCCATCTGACCATTCCATAGAAGTGGACAACCTAAAATCTAAACACACTGAAGGGCAGGAAAGACAGCTCAGTGTGTAAAAAGCTTGCTGTACAAACCTGATTACCTGAGTTTGAGCCTCAGAATCCATGTAAAGGTAGAAGGAGAAAACCAACTCCACAAAACTGTCCTCTGACCTCCACATGCATGTACCTACATATATGTCATATAAACACAATAGTAGTTTTTTAAAAGACATTGGATTCTGATGGAGTCTACTTCCTACAAGCCCAGCCCTGTCTAGACATCTAAGTAGCCCAGGCTAGTGTTGTAAGCAAACACCATGTAAACCATGCTCATTGAGTCTTGCAGGAGAGGTATCCTGAGGAACTAATTTGAGCAATAGGAAAGTACTGGTCAGGTCACTAGCCATCCCACTGGTGGTAGGGTGGCCAATCTGCCCTCAGACACCATAAGCAGAGCCTCTTTTCTCCAAGCGTGGGGTACAACTCCCCAGTTTTTCCTGTTCACAAGTATAGGAGGCTTCATTTTGGAAGGAGTGTACTCATAACCTCAAGAAGAGGGCCATACTTGTCACAGACCTGGTCAAGTGTTCCAGAAGCTGTAGGTTCCAGCCTGGGGAATATAAGTCACTCACTGGGGAATCCCTGTGAACCTGCAATTCTGCTCACTTTAAATGTTTGGTGTCATATAGTCCTCCCCAAAGCCCTAGGACTTCTCCCCAATGTTATTTTGCAAATGAGGCAACTGAGGCTCAGGAAAGCCACTCTGCTGTCAAATGTTGGAAGCCAGATCCTTCACCCTGGTGTGTTCCTGTGGCCCACTGGTATAGACCCACGTGATTCCACTGTGACAAAGGTCTCAAAAACTCAGCCTGGTCAGAGTTCACTTCTTCCTGGAAAAGTCATTCAAATATGACCTTTGTTTAAAAGTAAGGTGTATTTAGAATGAACTTCAAAAACCAAAGCCCTTCGCTGAGAATCATTCAGAGGTGAACAGTAGGAATGACTGCTGACTTGTCCCACAAACAATGACTGGTAGATGGAAGGTAGAATGGCACTCTCAGAGAAATAAATCCTCCCCAACTCTAACCCAGAGAAAAAAAATATTTCAAAATGAAGATGAAATAGTGAGTTATTTTAGAGAAACAAAAATCATAAGAAATTGTAAGGGAAAGCCATCGGAGCTAAAAGAAAGTAACACTAGGTTGAATGTGGGCTGGAAGAAAGGAAGACAAAAGGACAGTGGAAATGGCAGCCGTGGTAGGAAATATAAAAGGCCATCTTCTCAAATTATTCAAAGAAGGCATTATTTAAATTTTTAAATGCAATTTATTGAGGGGTTATAATGCATATTATTTCAGTAAATTATCATGTGCTGTTTGAGCTCATTGAAAAGCTGGCTCTGAAAGTGGGGTTGTCACCTTATCTCAGACTATACATGTCTGTCTCAACACATCCTCAAAAATATCTCTGTCCTGGGTCAGGCTGGCCTCCTAGCTCCATAATGGGGAAAAAGAAAGCCTGCAAGCAGCTAAGGGGATTAAAAACTTTATGCCCTGGTAACAACTAGAAGCAAACTATTTCCAACAGAGGCTAGTATTTATCCCATGGTACAAAACACTAGAGGTGGGAAGAGGCTCATCCATTGAGAGAAGCTCAACTGTAAACTCCAGCTGACTGCCTCAACTTCCCCAGTCCATTTTGCTAGATGTTTGCCAATTTGATGATTCCACCATTATTTTCCCTCTCAGTCAGACTATTCCCTTCCTATCTGCTGGATGCTGTAAATTTCTGATCTGATGATGTTTTGCTATCTACCTGCTGCTTTTCTCTATCTGCTACTTGCTCTTTGTCCTCTACTTCTGCTTGCTACATGCTTAATACACTCATTCATTCAAAATGAACAGTGTGGCTATTGTAGATCAATCTCTGGGCTATACAGAATGGGCTCACAGCATGTGTGAAGAAGGTAAAGCATATAAAAGCAATAGCAAAAGAGGAAAAATGGATCGTTCATGCTGAACTTCCTTCCTATTGTAATTCAAGGCAATTTATAATATGCATGTATGAAAGTGAAGTAATCACTAAAAATAATACAATGTATTATTTACCAAAAAAGTAAGATAAGGAAAGGAACTGAAATATAAAATATAACCCATGTCTAGAAAGTCATTGTACTGTGGGCAGGAAGGTGTCTGGTAGGAGTCAGAAGGGAGGGACTGGGTATGTATTTGATCAGCACACATGGTATACTTCTATGAAATTCTCAAAGAATCAATAACAAATATATTTAAAGTAGTAAATCTGAAAGAAATCAGGGAGAGATTAGCAAAGATTAAAAGAACAGACAGGCTAGGTGTTCAGGCAGAAGACTAGACTTAAGTTTTGTTTGTGATCATACTAAAAGTAAAGGGATGGACACCACAGTTAAAAAGCAGGGCTTATTAGGCTGTGTCAACAGCAAGACGCTGTTGCACACTATAAGAGACTGATTAAAGGTACAAAGACACAGAGGTTTTAGAAATAAACATTAGAAAATGATATGTATGAGGTCTAAGCATAATAAAGGTAGTGGCTACATAAATATTAGACACAATAGACTTAAAGACAATAATAATGCTAGAGACAAAGAACATTTGGTTATGAGAAAGGGGCCAGGACATCAGGGAAATATCACAATTTCAAATACATATGCAGCTATTAACGAAGCTCCAAGACACATGAAGCAAAAAACTAAAGGTAAGAGGAGACAATTATTGATAGCTCATATTAAAGAAAAACCCTGTACGAATGTGGAACACGAAAAGCTCTATTAAGTAACGACCACATTATCCTTATCATGCTGTACCAGAATTGGACACACATTGACTTCAAATGCATCATGACTATTGGTCAAAGTGGACTTTATCTACACAGCAAGTCTCAGTGCATTTGAAGTGATTGGCCTCACATGAGGAATTTTATCTGAACGCAGAACAGTTAAACTGGAAGCCAGTGATGGTCGCATGCCTTCTTTTTTAACCCTTAAATATTTAGAAACCAGTCAATCCATTTGTACCAAAAGTTATGAAAACTTTATCTGAGGAGTTGGAATATACTTTAAAAACAATAATTAAAAGACAACAATCATATAGTTAAGACTGCATGAAATAATAAACATGTTTACAAGTTTAAATATTTATATTAGAAAACTACAGTTTTCAACTGGTTATCTCAATTTCACCTAGAAAACATAAGCTAAGATAGAATAATAAGCTGAACCCAGAGTCAATAGAGAAATGAAAACAATAACGCAATGTAAATGGATATAGTCTAAAAATAAATGTTATCCAAACTTTCTAAAAGCAAAGTCTCAGCCAAGCTAAAAGTTACAGCTTTGAGTGTGTTAATAAAATAATGTATACATGTATACTTGTATACATGTTACAAGTCTCATCACAGAAAGGAGACTGCATAAATTGCCCATGGGAATTAAGGAAGAGATATGACTATCATTCTAAAGACATTTAATGACTCAATGAATAATTTTCACTAGTAAAGTAATACAAATGAAATGGGGAAATTCTCTGAAAAACCACTTACCAAAACTGACAAAATACAAAAGCTGAATAACTCTGTCTACTAAATACATTGACCTTGAAATTTTCAACTCTTCTGCAAACCAACTGGTCCATACATATGATGATGTGAAAGAGAAGTGTTCCCCATAGGCTCAAATTTTTGAATACTTTGTCCCCAGTTGGTGGCACTGTTTGAGGATGTCATGGAACCTATGGGAGGTATGGTCTTGCTGGTGGAAGTATGTCACTGGGGGTGGGCTTTGGGCGTTTATAGCCTCACCCCACTTCCAGTTTTCTTCTTTATTTCCTGTTTGCAGGTCAAGATATAAGCTCTCAATTTCCAGTTCCTGCCACCATGCCTGCCACTTCTGCCATGTCTCCCTACTGTAATGGACTCATCTCTCTGGAACCATAGGCCCAAATAAACTCTTTTTCTATAAGTTACCTTGGACAGGGTATTTCATCATAGCAACAGAAAAGTAACTAGTACAGAAGTTGGTAGCAGAGAGTGGGCTGTTTCTGTGAAGAACATGATCATGTTGTGGTTTTCTTTTTCTTTCTTTCTTTTTTTTTTTTTCCCTCTTGAACCATAGGCCAATGTAGACTGTACTGTAAGCTTCCTGAGTCATGATGTTTTATCACAGCAACAGAGAAGCAACCAATATAAAAATTGGTAACAGGAGTGGGGTGTTGCTGTGATTTTTTTTTTTTTTTTTTTTGGAGGAATGTGGAAGACTTTTGAACTTTTAACTAGAAAAGTGATTGAATGCTGTAAGCAGAACTTAATGGGCCATTCTAGTAGACGCCTGGAAGAATATAGTGCTGAGAGAAATGTCAACTGTAGAGACCTGGTTCAAGAGGTTCCAGAGGTAAACAAAGGCCTTAAGAGCAACTGGTATAGAAACCACTTGGGTAACATTTTGGCAAGGATCTAGCTGCCTTCTGCCCTGTCCCAAGAATGTGCCCAAGGCTAAATTTAAAAGTAATGGACTAGTTTCTTTGGCAGAGGAAATTTCAAGACAACATAACAGTAAATCTGTGGCATAGTTATAAATGGTGACCCTTATGCAGATCTACAATGAAAAAGAGCAGTAAGGCAGAAAGAAATACCAAACATACAGTTTGGAAAGAAGAAAGCACTAGGAAACTTAATGTTCCAGCCTAGCTGTGTGCTGAAAAGGAGGCTGTGTTTGTTAAGGTTAGCCTCATTAAGGCAAGGCCTTTTGCTCTACTGAATAATGGGAAGGGCACCCTCAGGGTCAGACCCACCCAGCTAAGCTTCCAACCCATGGAGGGATAAAACATAAACCTAGAAAAACCACAATATCCAAAAGCCACTGCTAATGTGGTTGAAGGGGGCCAGGGTCCGTCCCAAACTGTCAGCTGAACTTGGCAGTGCTGCCCACATGGTACTGACTTTAGAGGCATGAAAGATGCAAGAGTGAAGAGTCTGTGGATTCTTCCTCCATAGTTTCAGAGCGCTGCTGAAAACAGGCAACATATAGCAAGGGGGGCGGTCCCTGCAAGAAAAAGGTCCTGAGAGACTCCTGGGTGAAACTGTGAAAATGAAGCCTGGGTCATGGTGGAGACCCCAAGAAGTTGGAGATGTCAGATCCATCAGACATCTGCCAAGGAGAGCTGCATACAGGAAGTTATGTACCAGCCCAAGAGAAAGACATAGTACAGGCAGCAAAGCTGGAGGGACTGCGCCATCTAAGCCCTTTGAAACTAAAGTCTCAGTTTTTGGACATGAAGTTACAGGATTTGGTATTTGCCCTCCTGGTTTTCAGTCTTTCTTTGGTTTGATATTTCCCCACTATTTTGGAATGGAAATGTATACTCTGTGTCATTGTTTATTGTACTATGTAATTTGCTTTTTGATTTTACAGGGGGTTACAGCTAAAAGATTGCTTTAAGTCTCAAAAGAGGCTTTGCCATTACATAACAGTTTCTCGAAAATGGCAAGATTCCTCTGAGTGATTGCATGGGTCCAGCACAGCCCTGACCAAAGCCAAAGGACATTAGGAGAAAATCATAGATAAATATCCTTCATGAACATAGATGCCAAGAATCCCCAATAAATGGGGCTGGAGAGATGGCTCAGTGCTTAAGAGCATTTGCTGGTCTTCCAAAGGACCCTAGTTTGGTTCCCAGAATCCATGTTAGGTAGTCCATAACCACCTAGCTCCAGAGAATCTAATACCCTCTTCTGGCCTCCTTGGATAACTCTACACATGTGTACATACCCCACAGATACACCCAAGTACACATAATTGAAAATTAAGTAAATATTTAACAAAAAAGAATCACCAACAAAATATCAACAAGTCTCATCTAGCCATAAGCATGCCCTATGTGCAGTTCAACCCTAGGCATGTGAGGTTATTTAACATTTGAAAGTAATGTAATTCACCATGTTAACTGAACAATGAATAGCTTGATACATGAAGCAACAGCACGTGACAAAATTTTCATTCACTCCTGATAAAATCTCTGGGTGAACTGTTCTTGTTTCATCTGTTGCTGTGATAAAACACTCTGACTAAAAGAAACTTAAGGGAGGAAAAGGGTTTATTTGGATTACACATCCAGGTCACAGTTCATCACTGAGGCAAGTCAGGGCAGGAACTAAAGCAGGAACTGAAGTAGAAACCCGGAATGATGCTTGCTGGCTCGTTTACAGGCTCATGCTTAACTAGCTTTCTTATGCATCCCAGCACCACCTGCCCAGGGACGGTGCTGCCCACAGAGAACTGGGCCCTCCTGTATCAACTAACAATCAAGACAATTCTCCACAGACACGTCCACAGGCCAATGTCATCCTGGAAATTCCTCAATTGAGGCTTTCCTCTCAGGTGACTCTAGGCCATGTTGACAATTAAGGCTAACTAGGACAAGTAGTTACAGAAGTCCTGTGACTAACGGACAAACAATAAACAATTTCTCCATAGTTTTCATTCATCACAACCAGAAACTAGCAACAACGGAAAGGGGGATTGACAGGAATTGTGAATAAATGATGGTGTCTTCTTAAGGTGGAACTCTGTCGCAAATAACTCATTGTAGTTGCACAAGAAGACAAACGCTACCGTGGACATTCCCCTCCTCTTACACTGAGCTCTCCCTGTACCCAGGACTCACTTCCCCCTCAACTCTGGACATCCCCTTTCTGGAAAGCTACAGAAACAGTCCCATCAAAGACCATGCCAACAGGTACTTCTTCATACTTGCCCTTAACCAGGGACCAAGTTTTCATGACATACTTTGATTTGTTCCTGTTCTTCTTCCTGAGAACAGTCACATTGGATTGATAAGGTACCAGCTAATTTTTTAATCTCCTCTCTTGAACATACAAACACCCTCATGTATTTGTGTGCATGTGTGTGCTCTGCACTTCAGTGTATGGGGAACCTCCCACCTCAGAAGCCTGCCAGAGTACACTCAGCAGCTGCCAACACCACAGATACTACAGGAGAATGTGGCACTGATTCTGTCCATCCCAGGAAACCCTCCAGCAGCCTGCTATGTCCTGTCCCCAGGTGTGGGTTGGGGACTGAAGGAGGTACACTCTCTCCTGTGACAGCACAGAAGGCAGAGCAGAGAAAGATTTGTCCCACAGCTGCTGGGGTGGAATGCCTCATCTTTCATACCATCTATATAAAGGTGTTTATTCAAAACCAAAATAAGAAAGGAGGTATGGTGTTGGGGGGCACTGGCCTTTGAACTAATGGTTCCACTTGTTTCTTGGTGGGGGGTGTGAGGTACAGGTCTGGCTCTCTGGCCCTACGGGTGCCTCATGCCCTTCCTGTCTATTGCAGGACAGCTCCTGGTAGATAAAGTGCTACGGTACAGCCCCAAATGCCATCTAAGAGCTGGCTATAAACTCATGAACAGATACATTCTGAACTTCCCAGGGGATTTGAGGGTTTCCAAGGGTAACACAGACTGCATGCAGTCTCCTTTTGCCATCCCCACCATACAGGGAGAGCCCTGGCATCCTCCTTCAGGGACTGCTATGAGAACATGGCCCTCAGTGACCTATGTGAGAATACAGCTCACCTGCAGGAAGTGTGGAGAACTCCACACAGGCTTCTTTCTTCTCCCTCTGCTCCAGCGGCAGCTGCCAGGGCATCTGGTGAGGCTGGGCCAAGACCTTCACCTTATAGGCCATGTTGGGTCTGAGGTTGAAGAACTGGTACTTGTACCTGGCTGCCTTCACAATGTCCAGCTCTTCCTCATTGAGGAAGATGACGTGGCTGTAGTTACTGTTGGTGGGCAGCCAGGAGAGCTGGGCAGAGATCTGTGTAATGTTGTCCACGCGCAGCTGGGACGGCGCCACTACCACATCCTTGCCCACCAGCAACGTACACTGCAGCTCGTCTGAGTTGCCCCGGCTTGTGATGCACTGCACAGAGATGCGGTAGGTACAGGTGGCTGTGTTGAGTTTCTCAATGAGTGCCTTGGTTCTCCTGCCCAGGGCGAGGCTCATACGTGTCTCCTTGTCCACCAACACATTGTAGCTGCTCACAGTGCCCCAGCCTGGTGGCACAGCAGGGGGTTCCCAACCGACAATGACACTTTTGGCAAGCTGTTTGATAAGGGTGATTTTCCTAGGGTAAGGCACAATGTCTTCTCCAATGTCATCGATGTTCATGTCCAGTGTCCCGCCACCATTGTCAGTAATACCAGAGTCCATGTGAGTGGGGGAGTGTAGGTCAAGTACACTGTCACGCTCCAAGCTGATTCCAGAATGGTTGAGGAAGTTCTGGTCCTGCTCACTCCCCAGAGTACTGGCCAACCGAGACTCATTGTCCTGGATAAAATCCACGAAGTTGGAGGGCACCAAGCCCCTCTGCCCATCCAGCAGCTCCCCTGTCAGGTGCAAGGACAGACATCACCCAACCATCGCACTGTGCCCCAGGTCCCATAGCATTGACACACCATAAGGCCTCACAGGAGCTCACTCCCCACCCATACGCTCTGCCTAAAATAACCCTTTCATCACAAAGTTGGGTCTCTCAATAAACCTTACTGGAATCTGAGTGCATATACTAAATGATCCCTGGTAACAAGGGGAAGGGAGCTTATGCTTACCAAATGCCAAGCACTGGGGAGACCATGGCACACAGTAGGTGCTCAGTAAATGCTAGGATAAACAAACGTCAAATCTGTGGTCTTAGGAAGTTAAAAAATAAGCATCTCCTTATCTTTTTTGGTCATATGAGCATATGAACAGGAATTCAAAGGTGGGGATTTTTTTTTGCTCCATGTAAATCACCCAGAGCACCTGTTCCCAGCACCTACCTGATGTGAAATGAAACAATTGATTGGGTGTCAGAACCACTTCAGCACTGGGTAACAAAAACAAGGGCTACACAAGTGCCTTCTGTAGCTGTGGGCGGCCTTTTTATTCTGTGAAGCAGCCAAATTCTGTGTGTGTGTGTGTGTGTGTGTGTGTGTGTGTGTGTGTGTGTGTTCTCTTGATTAATGGGGCTCAAAGGCTTGCTAACAGGAGAGTTTGTCAAAATAGATGTAGGGGAGCTTTGATGATTACACAGCTTAGGTAACTTCCAGCACAGAGCCCAAAGACCATCTCCTGTACTCATCACAGCATACCTCCCAAGAGATCACAAGACCCTAGGACCATGATCATTGGAACTTGCTCCCAATAGAGCCCCTGACTCTGTGGATCTGTGATGTGGACTGTAGACAGCATGTCAGCCATTTAGTTAGGACTCACTTTCTGTTCCTAATCTCTACTTTGAGTGTAGGTCTTGAGGCAGTCAGTTGTTTGTCCCAAAGATAGTCTGCCACAGGAAAGTGATGATGGTAATGATGTGGACAGCAATAATGGTGGAGATGATGGTGATGGTCATAATGATGAAAGTGGAGATGACAGTGAAGATATTGATGATGGGGGGTATGGTGATGGTGGTGATTTTTGGTGATGATGTTGGTAGTAATGATGATGGTGATAATGGTAAGGGTGGTGATGGTAGGGATGGTGATTTTAATGGTGGTGTTGATGATGATGGTGGTGATGGTAATAATGATGGTGATGATGGTGTCTAACATTTACTCAGCAATGACTATGTGCCAGGCTATGTTCTTGGCAGTTTCTATCATTCCTGTCACCCCTGCAAATGGGAGAGCCATACTCAGTGAGGTGGCCCTATGGCTCTGCCAGAGAGACTAGAAACAGGGCCCTCTGGGGATTACAGTGGGCCCTTGGTATCTACCAGTCCCACATCCATGGATCTAACTAATGAAAGATGGAAAAAATTTAGAAAAAAACTTTCATCTGTAAATGAACAAATAAACAATCTGTTATTGGCACAGTGTTTATATTGTGTGTTAGAGGCCACCTAGAGATGAGTTTCAGCACACAGGAGGAGGTGCCTAGGCTATTTGCAAATACTGCATGATTTTATATAAAAATGAGAATCTGTGGGCTTGGGTGTTTACCCATTCCCTGTGGATAATAAGAGGTGACTGTAAAGGTTCCATCAGCTCCCCAGATGTTGGTACATAGCTGCCTGGCAGTGCTACTGAGATAAGCTTTAAAGGCATCCAAGTGCCAGAGGTCTATTGGCAGTCACACTAGGAAAGCCAGCTCTACTGTCCTGACAATCATCACACAGATCTCTGGGGGAGGGGAGGGACAGAGAAGAGGGCAGGCAGCCAGGAGCATGCCGGAACTTGGCGTGTCTCCCAGGGTCTGGGCATGCTGATCTGCTGCATGGACCAACCTAGTCTTTGCCCACCCACCACAGTGTGCCCCACAGAGACCTTCATAGAACCCATCCTCATCCATGTCACCATACACGTAGAGGTATTTTCCTGCTGTAAGAGGCAGCTCTGCTTCTGGATTCTCATTGGGCCCATCAAAGGGGTTGTAACTGGAGGAAGAAGCACAGTTTGTGTGTTAGTGGCCCTGGACAGGACTACAGGGTGTGCTGCTCCTGGCGCCTGTCACTGAGGATCACAAACAGCCGACTGCTTGGCTTTGGTGAGTTGGCTACAGAGAAAACTCAAGCCTCTGCTGACTTGCTCATATCAACAGGTTCAAGGGAATTCTGAAGCCATTGTCCACTTGGAGCCCTTTGCCTCTGAGGACATCTTACTCTGACATCTTGTTCCCTTGTGTCTCTTTTACTTTAATTACACATTTCCAATTAATGAGAAAATATGAATGTGATCTTTAAATATGTGAAATCTAAGGTGGAACTGTGTAAGCATACTACTTAATTTACTTCTATTTATTTAGTTAATATTGTTTTTAATTTTATTTATTTATTATATGTTTGGGGCACAGCATGCAAGCAGAGGTCAGAGAACACCTTGCAGGAATTGGTTCTCTCCTTCTCTCATGTGAGTTTGGAATTATACTCAGTTTGTCAGGCTTGGCAGCAAGCACCTTAACCTGCTGAACCATCTCACCAGCCCAATGATTTATTTTTTCACTTCTCAGTGTGGTATTCCCTATTTCTACCTCATGAAGTATTCTGCCATTGCCCTTTTCGTTTATGTACAGTGTTCCACTGTTCAAGCTACAAAACCTTAGTGACTTTTCATTCATGTAGTGTTCCGCTGTTCAAGTTACCAAACCTTAGTGAACCATTTTTCCAATGTTGGATATGGATGTTGCTTCTAACTCCTAGCTAATATATTCAGTGTTGTATCTTTGCACACTTTCAAAAAGAAAAATGCTAGGAGCTGTGGTTTTTTTTGGTCAACAGTACACATGCTGAATACAAACTTCTAAGATATGATGCTTGAGTGTGTATGCTAAGGTGAGTATGTGGGAGTCACTGATGGAAGTTTTCGACACCAATTCCCTGTGATGATCTATTTGCCCCTTGTTGTGGTTTGAATGGTGCCCCCCATAAAGATCTGTATCAAGTCCTAGTTCCTGATCTCTGTGAATGTGCCCTTGTTTACAAATAGTTCCCTGCACACATGGCCCAGGTAAGAGGAGATCACACTGGCCAGGGTGGACTGACCCAGGAGACAAGGAAATGCATAGGGAGGAAATATAGCCACAAGCCAAAGGCACTTGGGGCCACCAGAAGCTAGGAAGGACCCAAGACCCTTCCCCAGAGTCTTCCTGTTTTGGCCATGTGACTCCTTGGTTCACATGCTGATCGCCAGAGTTATAAGGAAGCAAGCTCCTGTGTGCTCAGCCTGAGACACTGGGTCAGGGTAGTGCTTAGGCACCAAGGTGCGGCCACATCCTGTGTACTTTCTACTCCAGGTTCACCCTTTCCTCTCCCTGGAAGCAGGACCTTCCTGGCCTGGACCCTTGCCTGCTTTCTCTGTGCCTGCACCCAGAGTCCTGGCGGCAGAGGAGAATACTGCGGGAACTATGTTCCTACCTGTAGCGGGCAACACACAGGTGTACCTTCCCCACGCTGCTCTGCTTGGAGGTGTTGGAGTTCCGGTCATTGTCCATCTGTGAGACACGATGATCATGGTTCAAAGTTAGTGACACAACAGGCTGTATATTTCCCACAGTGACACGATGCTTCCCATGGGGACATGTAGGAAACTTGCCCTCAGCCTCACTGAGCATGTCAGGAAAGTGGCCCACACTGTGGGACTCACATGAAACAGGAACCCCACCTCCTCAGCCTGGTTGTAAGTCTGGAACAGAGCACCCTGTTCTAGGAACCCCTTCACCACATAGACAACCTTTGTTAGGACTCTTGGCCGGAACACCAGCACAGACTTGGGTGCCGAGACATCTGCATGTCACACTGAGTAGGTTGTGGAAGACAGAGGTGATCATTGAACCATATCCTCTGCCCTCCAGAGAGATCTTGCCATGGACACCACTCAGTCCCTCCAATGACACCCAGGGCTCAAAGGAGGCCTACAGGGAAAGAGACACGAGGGCCTGTCCTCAATTTCCCTAGCTGCCCCTGTGGTCTCTGGGTCTATAGGTCATGGGGACATTACCCCTCTGGCCTTCATTCCTGTACATGGGGAAGAGGTATGACCTTTTCTCAGAGGGATAGGAGGAAAACTGAGCAACTCTGACTTAGGAAAGAGCATTTCTCCTTTCATCCATCCCTGTAATGCCTTCTCCACCTGTAAGCCTTCCAGCACTTCCCCTGTGATATACACAGTTACCAGTGCTGTCTTGGGACCCAAAGTCATGCCCATCTCCCCACCTCTCATCTCCAGCAGTAAACTGAGCTGTTTCCAACTCCTTTTCAGCAGTACAACGTGACACCAGTGCCCACCTACCCTCTGAGAAAGTCACCCCTGGCTTCACAGCCTCTCCATCTCATCACAAAGCCATGCAGCCTGGTTCTGCCATCTTCTGAACCCTTGATAGGACATAGCTGTTCAGATGCTGATGGCACTGTGTCCCATCACTGGATTGCCATCTCCCTGATACTCAAGGTCTCCCCTGCCTGTTAATAGTAGGTCCCTGCATCCTGGCACATAGTGGGTCACTAAAGATGGGTTCAGAGAACAATAGGAACAAGGGAAGACCTAGGGGAATGGGAGGGAAGAAAAGGACAGGGAAAGATGGAGTGGAAGCATCAATGTCCTCCTGGATGCAGAGGCCTGGTCAGCCAGGCACTGGCCAGATAGGACTCACGTTGGACTCAAATCTGCATCTTGGGCTGCTGGGTGACAACAGGAAGGAGGGCTTCACACACGGAGGCTCCAGCTTGTCCCTGGACAGCGGGATATAGTCACCAATCAAAGAGTAGTGTCCAGTGGGGCCCTCGTGACCTGGCCAGGAACACAGTAGTGGATTGGAGGAAGGAGACAGGCGATCAGATCAGCATACAGGCCATTTGCCTTCCCAGGCCCTTTCCCCTCTTAGGGGCTAATTTTGATGTTCAAATGAAGACCACTTATGTCCTAATGCCACAGGCTGATCTCACTGCAGCCCTGAACTAGATTGTCCATGAGAAGCACCTAGGCTGGCTCTAATGAGGCTATGGTGGTGAGGACATGTGAGAGACACAGAAAAGTCTAATTAGAGGGGCTTAGTGAATCCTGGACACAAAGGCTTTCTCTTCTCTTGGCTTGAAATTGAGAGGATGTGAGGCCTAGTGACCCTGCAGCACTTTCGTACATGAGAGAATGGTGTGTACCCACAGAGCAAGGAGTTCTAAGATGAGAAGGCAGAGGCTGGGCTTCTCTTCCTGTGACATAATTGTGGGCCCCTGAGTCAAGCTACACCAAAAGCCGCTCACTAGCTCTTCTCTCACATGACAATTACCTTCCTGCTCACACTAATTTGTTGTCACTTTAACAAAAAGAGTTCCAACTTGTCCAAATGCCAAGTCTATGACTAGAACATACTCTAACAAGAGCTTTTCTGGGACAAGGCAGGTTTCCAGGTACCCCATCTTCACAGGCACAGGGATAGGGGAGGAGCAAACTGACCCACAATGGCTTGATTGGCACTTTGAAGTCATGCCCTTTAATCAGGATCCAGAACCAGTCATGGCCAGGAATGACCAGTTCACTCCCAGGTGTCCTCTGTTGCCTGTACATCAGCATGCTCCCTGCCCAGGGCATCTGCCTCCTCCTAAACTGCCCCATCATGGGTCACCTCTCTGAGGAATCAGAGAAATCAGGAAATAGTAACTAAAACCAATGCAGAAAGCAACCCAGCAAAAGCTTTAAAAAAATTTTTTTAATCAAAAAAGAAAAAAAGAAGGAAATCCTGCTGCTCCTATCAGAGTGGAAGAACCCCAGAGCATCTTAAGCAAAATGAAATAAACCAGGTGCCAGAAGATAAATACCACACTGTCCCACTCACATGTGGACACTAGTGGTATCAGAGTCTAGAAACAGACAGCAAAAGGTGTTGGCCCTGGGCAAGTGGTCTAATTTGCTTTTTTGTTACTGTCATAAAACACTCTGACCAAAAGCAACTTAGGGGAAGAAAAGGTTTATTTCAGCTTATTCTTCCAGGGTACAATCCATCACTGAATGAAGTCAAGGTAGGAACTCAGGCAGGAACTGAAGCAGAAACCATGGAGGAACACTGCTCATTGACTTGCCCTCTGGCTCATGCTCAACCTGCTTTCTTTTTAAAATATTTTATTATTTTTATTTTATTTTTGTATGTGAGTATACTACCTGAATGTATATAAGTGTACCCATATCATGCAGTGCTCTCGGGGGTCAGAAGAGGGCGTTGAATCCCCTGGAACCGGAGTTAAGGATGGTTGTTACCTGCCATGTGGCTGCTGGGGTTTGAACCTGGGTCTTCTGCAAGAGCAACCAGTGCACTTAACCACTGAGCCATCTTTCTAGCCCTCAGCTAGCTTTCTTATACAGCTCTAGGATAGTACTGCTTCCATGGGCTAAACCCTCCCACATCAATCATCAATCAAGACCATGCCCTAAAGACACAGCCACAAGCCAATCTGATCTGGAAAATTCCTCAGTTGAGGTTCCCTCTTCCCAGGTGACTCTAGGCTGTGTCAAGTTGACAGCTGAAGCTAACTATGACAGAAGGGGAGTGGGGAGATTTGGGGGTATGAGTGGGAAGTCCGAAGCATCGAGGTCATAGGTTTAAGTTTAGGTATGTGATACTGTGACTACAGTAACCCTGTGTTGTCCCCAAATGCTGCAGATGGGAGGCATAAGCTCTGGGTCACATGGCACAGTGGGAGACTAGACTTCACTGCAACTTAATTCATATTGTAATGGTTAGTATATTAATTGTCAACTTTACTGGATCTGGAATCATCTGGGAGACAAGCCTCAGGGCATATCTCTAAGAAACTGTCCAGCTTGGTGAGTCAAAAAGTTTATTTAGAATGAATTACAGGTGCATGGGAGACTTTCAAGCAGCCACACCACTGAAGAAAATGTCTCTCATTAACTACCCATACATTCTTGAGGAGGGGTGGGGCCTTGTAAACCCCTCCTTCCAGCAACCTTAACTGTCTATAAACCCTCGGAGAGGGGCGGGGCCTCATGAACTCCTCTCTTTTCCAGGACAGAAAATTAATGGGCCCAATCTTGTGCAGGTCTCCTGCTGGGAGTTCAAAACCGCAAGCCATGTCATGCCAAGGACAGTCTTCCACACCTGTGGCTAATGCCAAACACCTGCTTTCCTTCCTACCTAAAACTGGACACATTCCAGACAGAGGTGCCCACATAACCAATCTCCCCTCATCCCACCTCACCTCCCGCCAATAAAAAACTACCCTCAGCACAGTCTCAGGCAGCCTAGTAGGGTTTGAGGGTATGATATGCATGGCCTCTTGCAGCTGGGAGTGAACTCAGGAAGTGGCAGATGCTCTAGGCACATGCAAAGAACAGAAGCTGTCTTGTGCCTTTCCCTCTTTGAGATCTCACAGCTTGAGCATGTTCCTCAATGGCCACTGTGCCCAACCACCCATCTAGGGCTACTGCAGCCTCTCTCCACCTCACCACCCATATGCACAAATCTGTCTGGACCAGAGACAACCTTGGGGCCTATCTCTCTACTTGCCTCTTGTCTATTTTCCCCCCATTGACCAGGATCTCCCACAGGACCCTGTCATCTGAAAGACAGCATAGCTTAGTAAATGGCAGAAAGGCACGGACAGCCCTGTTCCCTCCACCTTGTTTCTCGATCAGTGACCACCAATTCTGCTGTCTCTCCCTGCCACGCATGAGCTGGAAGGAATGATGGAGGAGCAGAGGAGCCAGGGAAGAGCGCTACTGACCAAGACACAGCAGCATCCAGCATTGCCTACTTTCCTAATAAAAACACCAAAAACTGTTCTCCATTCTGATAAGAGCTAAGAGAGATTTGTAAACTGACTTTATGGAAATACAAAGTGAAGTCTGACACTCAGCTCTCCTAAAAAAAATTGCTTGGGGTTTTAATTAGTTTTTTTGTTGCTTGTTTTTGTTTTTAAAACAGGGTCTCACAATATAGCTGAGCTTTTCTAGAACCAGCAGCCATCCTCCTGCCTCAGCTTCTGGAATGATTACACAGATTACAGGCACGAGCTGCCATGCCTATAAAATATACTTGGTAGGCAGGTACCTGGAGCCCACCAACCCCTGGGCACACTGGCAAACCCATACCATGGAAACAGGGCTGCTGCAAGGAAGTACCACACTTGTGGTCATTTTCCCTGATGCCGAGACAAGAGTCTGACATGCACACAGCAGCTGTCCCCACTGTGCACACTAAGCAGCTGCCAGCATGACAGCTCACCATCTCCATGATCAAGGTTCTTGCGGGAGCAGAAGTCCCAGTCACCAAGGTGATGTCCATGGTTTGATGGAAAGATGGAAAAGCTGCAGCAGAGAAATGAGCTTCCTGGAACATCTGAGCACCAGGCCAGCAAAACCTACATGGCAGTCATCACATAGATGCCAAATGTCTGAGTCCCCCGCCCATGCACTGCCATGAACTGTGTGATACCATACAAGTGCCTCCGTTTCTCTCTTCTGTGAAATGGGTTTAAGAAAAGCATCTACAGCTCTGCACCTGTGAATACCATGGCACTCTAGAAAGGGCATCAGAAGTCAGTCAGGTGAGGTAATGCTCATCTATTAACCCCCAGCACTCAGGAGGCTGAAGCAGGATGATTACAAGTTCATGGCCAGCCTAGGGAACATAGCCAGACCCTGTTTAAAAGTGGGTATCTGGGGACCTGGAGAGGTGGCTCAGCAGTTAAGAACACTGGCTATTCTTGCAGAAGACCCTGGTTCGAGTCCCAGCACCCACATGGCAGTTACCTAATGTCTGTAACTCCAGTTCCAGGGGATCTGACAGTCTTTTCTGTCCTCCACGGGCATTGTACAACATGGGTGCAATTACCTATATGCAGGCATTACACATATACACATAAAGTAAAAATAATAAAATATTTTTTAAAAAGTAAAAACAAATAAAAGTGAGTATCTGGAAGTCTGGAGAGGTAGCTTAGTTGGAAAAGTTCTTGCCAAGTAAACAAGAGGACCTGAGTTCAACCCCCAACAATCCTGTAAAGAGCTGGGCGCAATGGCACCCCCTATAATGACAGCCCTAGGGTGATGGAGACTAGCAGATTCCAAGCCAGCCTAGCCTAACCCCAGAAAACCCCAGGCCAATGAGAGACCCTGTCTCAAAACACAAGGTAGACGTTTCCAGAGGAACCACACTGAGGTTGATCTCTAGTCTCCATATATACACACATGCATGTGCACCTGAACCCACATGTGCACCCACATGAACATACACACACACACACACACACACACACACACACACACACACACAGAGGAGGAGGTACCCAAGTCACCCTGCGGATGAGCAAGGATATCAGGAGCCTGGGCTATCCTCAGTCTTGCTATGACGGATCCTTCCATCCCCTGTCAGAGGTCCTGGGAGGCCATCAGGCACCCTCCCCACATCCGCAGCCAAGCAGCAGGGACATCTGCAGCTTACCTTTGCTGATGGAGGTGGCTAGTCCATTCATGTACTGTGGTAAAGGCTTGCCAGGGGCCAAGGGGATGTCTAGCAAGGCCACCGAGCTGCTGCCTAGCAGGTCAATATTCCCAGCCTGTTGCCGGAACTTCTCCAGGTCCCGAGACAGCAGATGGAATTGCTCACTCTGCACACGGCATTTCTCTTCCAGCTCTCGGACCTTGGACTGCACAGCAGAGGTAGGACTTGCCATCAGTGGGGGGCATTCAGTGGTGCAGATGAACACAGGGGCACATGTGTGTTGTAAGTGTGTGTACATGTGTGCTGTGTGCTTGTGTGTGGCAGAGGCTACCTCCACTTCCACAGAGGAGTGGTGCCTGGTAGTCCAACCTCACAGGCAGCCTGGCTCTTGGCCACCATAAGGAACCACAGGTGCCAAGAATCCCTGCCATCACTCAGCTCCCAGCCAAGTGCAGATTGTTCCAAGCTCCACATGCAGCCCAGGCACTTTGTGGTTGGCATGCTTTGCCGTGGCTGTTTGATATTTGGAGCATAAGGGTGAGACAGTTCTGATTGGGGCACAGCTCAGTGTTAACCCACCATAAAACACTTTCTCACTGGGCACCCATCTCATGGACCTGCAAAACCCCAAAGAACAAGGCTTGGTGCAATACAAGGAAATGTCTACTGCTGGCAGGTTATCAATGCCACTGTCATTGTCCAACATGACCAAGGCACCTCAGAATCCCAGGGAAAGCCAAGAAACTCCCAGGGGACACACCGAGGAAAGGAGAAGCTCAGCCAGCCCCTCCGTGGGCAGGACATAGTGACTTGACTTGGAAGATTTCTGATCTTTGCTAGCTTTCTATCTTGCCATAGCCTCCTGGCACTGGTGCTCGTGTGCAGAATTAAAGACATTACCCACACAACGCCTTTCTTGTAAAAAGAGTTTCTTGCACTGGTCAGAGGAGGTGGGCTGGGCTGCTAAGGAGGGATGCTGAAAGCCCTGCCCCTCATCCTCGTCCTCCACTCCATCCTCAGGGCGCTCACCAAGTCTGCTTTCTACCCCCTCCATGAGGACTCCTTTCCTGTCTGTCTCCATTCCAGACTCAAAGCTGCTGGCCTCTACTTCAGATAGGCATACCCTCAGGCATAGTACAGAATCAGGTACACAGTCAGTACTCAATAAATGTGGAGTCAGAGAAAAGAGAGGAGGCATCTGATGTGCAGGTGTCCTTTTCCTTGTGGTGGTAGTTTTCTCTGTTTGTCTGCAAATCTAGTTTCCCCTATTCTTCATTCCATGGTAACTGGGAAACCTGTCTCTTCATGGTTGGTTACACCTGGGGTGCGCTATGAGGCTCTCTACCAGAATGTAGGGGGTCACGAAAAGAGGGTTTAGCCTGTGTGATTCCTCCTGCTTCCCTAGCACTTGACATTGACATAGATGCCCAGCTGGTGCTCAGCATATGCTTGTTTTAATACAGGTGTACGGGATGCAGAGCGGCTATGAGCCCCTCTGATGTCTAGCCCTCGGGAGTGGACAGTCATTTTCTTCCTCCTTCACATCCTCCTTCTTCTCTTCCTTCCCCTTCTCTTCCTCCTTCTCTTCTTCCTCCTCCTGTTCCTTCCACCTCCTGCTTCTCCTCCTTCTCCTCTTCCTCCTCCTCCTCCACCTCTTCCTCCTCTTCGATGTCCTTTTCCTCCACCTCCCCACCATAAGCATTAAGTCTCAGCTCCCTCATCCAGAATGGAGTGCTATTTATGTCTGAGATCATGGGCTTCTAAAAATAACCCTAATAGATCCCAAGCCTATAATTAATTTCTTCAATTCATTAAAAAATCAGCAGGGCTCCTCTTTTAAAAAGCTGAATGAGCTCGGCCAAGATAGCACTCGCCTCTGAGAAAGGTAAAGAACCAAAACTCTGCACTCTGGTGCCCAGGTGGGTAGTGGGGAGCAGGAGGAGACTATGAGTGGGGACAGGTGTAACCCCAAGAACAGACTCCATGTGGTGGCAACAGGATCCTAGGGCTCTGGCACCCTGCTCAACCTGAGGCAGCCAAGCACCCTGCATGGTGGGAAGGCCATCAGCTCATTCACAGGATGATGGAGACTTGCTGTCCTGGGGTTACTACCTGAGGCTGGGTCTTGAATGGTCCTGTGTCTAGACACTGCCCAGAGGATCCAGTTGCCTGAGGCATGTTGGACTGGCAGCCTTCTTTCCAGTGAGCCAACAGGGAGCAGATGGTGGCAATGTCTAAGTCACAGAGGTCTGGGCCTTCTTAGTGGAATTAACTAAGGAGCGTAGGACGATGCCCCCTCTTGAACCCAAGTAAGTAATCATTTGCTTTGTAAACCACTTTCTCATGGGAGTACTGCAGAGAGCCTTTGTCTGGGGTGACATGCAGTGAGCTTAAGGGTAGAACCTGAATTCTTCACACAGAATCATATTATTGTGCCCAACCACTCCTGACTACAGCCACCTTTCTTACAGACCTTTCAGGGCATCAGAGAAAATGGCTTTGGTAGGCAAGATGCCAACTCAGACCCCAGCAGCTACTAGAGAGCAAGCACTCAAGGAGGAGGAGCCCAGGGAAGTCTCAGGTCCCAAAGTGTCTCTGCTGATCCCTCTTTAGGAACCTCTCTGGATACAGCCCCCAGCTCTCCCTGGCTGCCACTACTGAGGGCCTGGCCTACTCCCTGGTCAGGTGCCCCCAATGACCTGTAAATCACCTGCTCCCAGGACACCCTGAAAGGAACAGCATCCTGCCCCTGGCCCCATGCATTGATACGCCAATGTTTATTTCAGGATTTGGAGCATTATAGAAGCTCTTTCATGTGGATGGAACTCTCACCTATGCGTGTTCACCCACCCATGTGTGTGGCCACATCCACCCACATGCCTCTCAGAGAACATCCACCTGCAAGGGGGGTGGGGTGCAGGGTGTCTGTGCTATGTCTGTGACCACAGCTTTGGCAGATGGGGAAGTGTTCTAATGGACCAAGGGCAGCAGCTCCCAAATTCAGATGGAGTATTTAAAAGTATCTGAAGGCGTGACTGCCAGCTTTCTCGCCACCTCTGCAGGAATTTCTCTGACTTCCACTCTCCATAGCATGGGTGCTGTGTGCTGGGACTAGTGTCCAAACCCAGATGGCTTCGAGGGTAAGGAACATTTGAGGGTAAGAGAATGCCTGTGGAGGAGCCTGAAGAGTTAGCCACAGGTGCTGGAAGTCACAAGCACAGCAAGGGCACAGAGAGGTTACGAACAGATCACTGTGGGAAAGTCCCCTGTGCTCAAGGCCCAGACTCCTATCTCTCACCCTGACACTGCCTACAAGCACTGTGGTCTCTGCCCTATCTCTTCCTGGCTGAGACTTTTCTCAGTGACAGGGAGGTGATGTCACCAAGCACACTCATCCCTTGGATGCTGACTGTAAGGAATGAGCAGGCATGCTTAAGGTCCAGTGTTCCTGCTCCCTGGCAATCCAGCAGGGCGGATGGCTGTCCAACCTCACCCACTGGGGTGCATGGAAGGCTGCTGTGCTGCAAAAGGACTGGGATGGGGGGCATTCTACCCCTGTCCTCTGAGATGCTGTGGTCCTACCTAAGCCTCCCCAGGGCTATGAGAACCCAGATGAAATGCACATCATCTCTGTACCCCCTTGGGACTCACTCAGCCCCTGTGGGTGCAGGAAGTGCTCTGTAAAGGCTACCCATGTTACTTCTCTTGCCTATGTTTGGCTAGAAGTTCCCGTAAATATTAGAGACTGGACTTAAGCAAGGCACCCTGAGACTCCTGCCTTTGGGCAGCCACCTGACAGTAAGCTCTGGAAACATTTCCAGTCAACTCCAGAAGCTTCTCTTTGCTGAGCCCCAAAGGAATGAAGAGTCCTTGAAGCTGGAGTTCACTGAGGTGTCCAGAATCACTGCCTCCCCACCCCATATACTTTGCACACACTCCCTAGGGATCAGATCTGGAAATATCCCCAGAGCTGGTGGGCGTGTGGAAGGTTTTAGTGCACCAGGCTTCCCAGTCGGCTTCCTCTAGCAGTTGTATTGCCAGCAGGAACGTGGGCTGCTCCCCCAAGCAGTGTTTCTGCCTAAAGACAGTCTCCCAGGTGACATCCAGGGTGCTCCACACTCTCTGAAGCACCCATACTTAGAAGGGTGCCCTAATAACTGGTGGGTGGGACTTTGCCTCCCTGTCTCTCCATAGGTCTGGGGTGACATCCGAGATGGACAGACAGTGGGGGATAGAGTTTTGAGTTCTAAAGTCTGAACATGGATTGACCAAAACTTAGGAGAACTGCTCCTTCAAATATCCCTCCTATCCAACACCTAGCTAGGTGGCATTTCTAGCACATTGCTCAGCCCATCTTCGTGGGGCCTTGCAGGCTGCATAAGGCAGAGCTTTGCCTGTGCCCAGAGCTTCTGGGACCTGAGAATGGACATATGTGACAAGTTCCCATAGATGCTATGATAGCCAGTCCGGGGATCCCCTTTTAGAGCCCCTTATCTAGCAGTGAAGAAAGCCAGTCTTCTCAGACTTCACAACCAGTCTCTGTTCCTTCACCCCAGGGAAAGTTGGAAGGAAACAGCCAGGTATGCCCTCCCCGGGGAAGGACTTGCTGCTGGCTCCAGACGGATAGGACGGGAGGGTGAGTATACAGCAGCCCATGTGAATTCTGATGGCCCATAATGGAATTCTAGACATACCCCCAAGGAAAATCTGTCCCAACCATGCCTCTTGGCCAAGGTCATCTGAATCCACAGTGTTGGCAGGCGATGGAAAGCCATGTGCACAGGGCCAGCTCAGCAATCCGAGAACAGTGTTTTGTATTCCTACACCCACTCCTTTGCTGGGACCTGGCTGAAGAGCCCTGGTCCCCACCCACACCAGGAAGTTGTGCAGGGTCAGACCCAAGAGGTGCTTGTAAGGAGGAAAAGAGGAAGATGAGCAGGCCCGGGGCTCAGAGCTACCCATGTAGGGAGAACAGCACACCACAGAGCACATGGCGGGAGGGGCACAGCATCCAATACCTGCATGCAGTCCAGGGTGTTCTGGGTGGAGAGCCAGGCAAGACAATCACAGAAAGATGGCATGAATGATAAGGGCAGCGCCCAGCACAGCCTACAGCCGCAAACCTTCCCTAGTTTTTGGACAGAGGCATGTGTCATGAATGCTAGCTAAGCTCAGAGCACTGGCCACCTGAGGCACCATGACCAGGCTGCATCAGCAACTTAGGAGGGGACAGAAATGATAGAGGTAACCAAAACTGTAGGCTTCAGGGCAACTGGGGAAAGGGACTCATTTTCAGCCAGAAGGGGGGTCAGACTAAAGTGAAGAGGACCATGGGAGAAGAAGAGTTGAATTATTCCCCAGGGAGACAGATAGCTATCTGGAGGTGGTCAGTTCTGTTCTACCAGGCTGTGTGTTTTTCTTTCTGCTATTCATCATGCACATCCCTCCAGATACTCATTAACTAATGGGCACTTCCCAAAGATCAATGTTAATATATGGAATGGCAACCACAGAACCTTTCCTGTGGGAGGAATAGATTCTGGAGGGTGATATAAGAGGTGTGCACACTCTGTGTTCAGTAGCAGCTAGTCCCCTGGGGATGAGGGAAGAGGTCATCTTGCAATTTTTTTGGAGAGCTCACCCTTCCTGTCAGCAGGTGGCTTTCGGGGAGCAACACAGGCAATCCAATCTGCCACTGCCCCCATTCACTGCATGACCTCTGACTTCTGCAGTAGAAGGTAGGCTGCTCACTGTGCAGGATGAATGAGTGACAAAGCCTCTGGGGACCCCAAGAACTCTTCCTCCCTCTGTTCGCCTTTCCCCAGGAACACTGACATAGGACCAAAAGCTACGGATCAGGTGCCACTCCCCGTGTACCACCCTAGCAGATGGGACTTGGCAGCCATTTCACTTCCCCACCTCTGGGATCACTGGGGAAGGTCTACCAGTGACTGAGGCCACTTCCTTGGGGATGGTACCCCCAGAAGTGCCTTGGATAGCAGTAACCACTGTGGTTCCTAGACCTTTCCTCTCTGACCTAGCAAATGTATTCCCAGCAGGAGCAGAAAGCTTCAGCAATGTCCCCCATACCATTCCTCAGAGGATGGAGACCCCAAGAATGACCCATCCCTGTTCTAGGAGAAACTCCTTTTCCTCCTATCCCAACCAGAACAGTGGAGCGAGGGGTGCTGCTCATGAAGACATACAGCTCTCACCCTGGCTGTGTGGCTGAGAGAGAGTACCTTTCTGCGCTCTGCTTCCTCATAGTAACAGTAGAAATGGTAATGGTGTCTAGGAGAGTGCTTGCTTGTGAGGATGACGTGAGGGGAGGCATGACTGCATCTAGTCTCTTACATGTAATGGGTGCTGATTATTTCATGGCTACTGTGTAGCCCTCCCAGCCTTACCCACCCCAATGAGGAAAGGGCACCCATGCTCACCTCTAGCAGTTGCACAGTGCCTTCGTGCTCCTTCTTAGCTTCAACCTGAGCCTGTTCGTGATGGAAAGAAAGGGGGAGCATTTAGGCAAAACAGGAGGGACTCAGGCTAGAATCTATGTGACCAGGGTGTGCCCATGGTTTTGGTTTCCCATTAAAGGACTTCTCTTTCTGCATGTATTCCCCCAAGCTGGACCAGGTGGCATGGATTTGGTTGTCTAATAGCCTTTGGGAAGTTGGGCAGAGAAAGAATAGACTCATGGGAGTGGCTGGGCTGAGGGTGGTATCTCTGACCCTGCAGAAGGGACCCTGCAGTTAGCACTTGGACCCAAAGCAGCGGGATTACCATGCAAAATCTAGGGAGTACCTTATCCTCATTCATCCTTTCCTGTCTAGGAAATGGGGCACACTCCTGCATTCTGGGCCCCCCCAAAGCTCCAGGTCCTCCTGGGGTTCCCCTGGCCTGAAGGAGGCATCATGCATGGGGTCCTGCACTTCTAGCCTGCAGTAGGGGACTTCCCTTTTCCCAGTAGTTAAGGCCACACTGTCTATCACACAGAAAAGGACACTTTACAAGCTTCACTGAAGAAATTTCCCATCGTGGCTGCTTTCTGCAACAGGGCAGTTCATGCAAAAAAGAAATGCAACCTCATTGTTTCCTGTCCTCACACTCCTGACCCCCCAGCATGGTGACTGCCTGAATCCTATTTGCCTGCCTGGCCCCTCTCCTAGGAAAAAATGCCTGGATTTTCTCACCCTATCTCCTACCGAGGAGGTAAGTATAATCCCAGACTCTCCGAAGTTGGTTTATTGGATAACCAAGGAACCTAATTCCAGTAAGGAGCCTCTGCCTGTGGATGCTGGAGAGAGGCCCTTTTCCTTTTAGACTTATCCTGAGAGGAGAAGTTGGAGCAACTGCAGCCATCTTGCCACCATGAGGGAGTGGCCAGGGGCCTCACAGAAACAAAGGATAAAGGTCTGAGGTTGTAGGATGGGGAAAAGGCAGCCAAGACCCCTGCCCCCCACCCCCACCCCCACACACTGTGCACCGTCCCTCCCAAGCTGGGCTCATCAGCTACTCAGACATTCTTCTGCTCCATTTATTTTTCATTTTTAATTTTGAGACTCATGGAGCCCAGGCTGACCTGAAACTCACTATGCAGTCAAAGATGACCTTGAACTTCTAGTCTTCCTGCTTCCTTCCAGACACTGAGATGGCAGGCATGTGCTGCCACAGCAAATGTGTGCCAGGCTGAGGATAGAACCCAGGGCCTCGTGCATGTTAGACAAGTACCCGACCAACTGAGATACATCCCCAGCACCCCATTCAGCTGTTGAATAGGTTTATTTCCTAGTACTCCAGTCTTCCTTCTCTTCCACTATTCAGAATCTGCGTTCAGAGCTGAGGCTTACATTTGGGCTTCTGGAGAGTGTCAGGCCTGGACTTTGTGCCATCACAAGTGAGAAGTGAACATTACCCCAGCCTGCAAGACTGTGTAGGGGACAGGCCAAGGCGAGAACCTGGCTCTACAGCACAGACTCTAAGACAAGCCTGAGATTTCCATGCATCTCATTCTCACTCATTCTCAGCCAGGGTTTAAGAGCCGGTGAGTGACTAGAACCAGCTCGTTAATCACACTTCTTAAATTCAGCTCAGGCATCGATGTTTAAAATTGTTCCTTTCAGGCCGGGCGTGGTGGTGCACACCTTTAATCCCAGCACTCAGGAGGCAGAGGCGGGAGGATCTCTGAGAGTTCAAGGCTGGCCTGATCCACATAGTGAGTTCCAGGAGGACAGCTGGGGCTACAGGGAGACCCTGTCTCAAAAAAGACAAAAAAAAAAAAAAAAAAAAAAAAAAAAGGTATTCCTTTCAAAGCAAAACCGCAACAACTACAATAATAATAAATAGAAAAAAAAAGATGAACAGTTGGGGAACATATAGAAATTATATAAATATGGCCACATTGAGTCAGATGCATCAAAGACAGTTTTCAACTGCCGGAATTCAAATCAGCATAGCACTCAGGCCAGGAGGCCCAGCCAAGTCGGCAGCAGCATGAAGATTGGGAGTTCATTTTCATAGGCCACTTCCAAGTTGGGCCATTTGGGCGATCAGAATAGATTGTTAAATTTAACACTTCAAGTTGGCAGCTCAGGAGTCTGGAAAAATCTCAGCAGTAGCTCAAGTAAGGCTCATTTCAGGGCCACTGCCAATTTGCGGGGAAGCGTGACCTTCATGGAGACAGGATGCCTGCAGATGGGAGCATGGGAGAGTGGAAGCTCCCAGGCATGCCCACAGTGCCCTCCAAGCCAGAGGGGTCTGTCACCCAGAGGGTCAGATGTTCAGGAGGGAGAGACAGCCCACAGTAGCAATGATGGCATCAAGCAGACAGACACATGCACACACACACACACACACACACACACACACACACACAGAGGAGGCAGATGATCCCTAGAGATATGGGGCTTGAGTACAGGATACCCAGTACAAGAGCTATCTGGTACCATCCAGTACCAGGGACACTGGCATGAGACAGAGCAAAACAGCACCATTTTTATTAGCATTGTTTAAATTAGCTCCCCAGAAAAGTGAATGAGACTCTTGTAACTGTTGAGAGCTGCAGGGCCACACACAAAGTCCCTGAGTTGTCATTCATCAGACCTGAGGATGTTGATACGCACCTGTTCACACTCCAGGGGCACATGTAAGAAAATGCAAGGGTGCAGTCAAAGCCCAAAGTGCCGCTCCGTGGCAGAGTGCTTGCCAAGCATGCACAAGGTCCTGGCCTCCATCCCCAGCACCATGATGAATAGTGAGGCCCATGCTATCCTCAGTCTGTACAGAGTCTGTACACACCCCACTCTCCACACACAGCAGCAAAGTGGAGGCTTCCAACAGAAACTGAGGAATCGGCCAAGAACATGCAGGGCAGCACATGCCAGGCAGCTCCTCTCAGCCTCTTGCTTCAGAAACAGACCCAGTACTGAAAGTCATCATTCCCAAGCATGAGGTGTCTCCAGGTCCACTTTCCATATGAACAGACTCTTGCTCTTACAATTGTTGTAGGGCAAGTGTGTGACCTGTCCAAGACTGAAAATCTGCAACCTCAGAGAGGCTGGGACTCTCAGATCACAGAATGACTCTGTAGAAGCAGCCATTGGGTCACATTTACGTCACAGGACCTCCAGTTTATTTGCAACCTCCTTAGCTATGGCATGGAGAAGAGGAGGGCCCAACACCCCCATGTCCGAGCAAGGCTGACAGGCACAGCCATGTAGTCATGTGGCAGATGATGGGGTGATGGTGAGAGTTCATCCTGCTATCTCGGGGAGGTCCTGAGATATGGGCTATAAGGAGGCAGCGTCTCGCCAGCTCTCCATACTTGCCAGCTATCCAGCCCCAGAGCTCACCCAGTATTGGCTGAGTGTCTATTACAAAATTATACTGTCCTGGGACACTGGTGCTCTTCTCATGGATCTCATGCCCCCACATCAAGTCAATCCAATACGCAGACACATCTTGGTGCCACTCAGCATAGTGCTGTGTCCCAGCCAGAGCAAGGAATATAGTCTGGCTGGGAGCAAACTGACAAAGCAAAAAGCCAGTTCTGTGATGACCTGGGGACCCTGAGAAGGGGAGAGTCTGGGTACCACATGGAGCAAAGAAAAGAGCAGGGTGTATCTGCATCACAGGGAGAGGCATCTAAGAGGTGGCTGGGCACTCCTGGCCACTCTCCACATATAACAACTGCTCACATGTCAGCTTTTATTGCTGCTTCTATTAACCCAGCCTGCTCTCACCCAGTCTCCATTTGTGCCAAGCCCTTGAAATATGGCTGACACCATGCACACCATCACAGAGTGGGGATTAGCGAATGGGCACTACAGCAGAATGGGGGTTAGTGAATAGGCACTGGCTGCCCCATCTCCCTGAGGCCTAGTCATCTGTGAGTAGTATGGTACCTACTTTGCTGCCTTTCCTTTTGTGAGCCATGCCTTTTGCCCAGCTGGCAGAGCTTTCTTGGACAGGCAGGTGCCCTGTGTCAGGGACAGGGTTTCCATTCTGATAGCAGGTACCTCAGTGTCTAATTCTTAGAGCGGCTGTGGCTACAGTGGGCTGGCAGTGAAGAAATCTCCAAGAGTTGTGATATGTGACCAACCCACCACCACATCTGGGACAAGATATGCCTGACTGCCTGCCCCCTGGTGTGTGTCCAGAGGCACAGGGTCAGCAGATAGAGGACCCCCACCCCTCTGTGTCTAGCCTCAGGAAGAGCCTAGCCTAAGAGAAAAGGCCAGGGCCAGTGTTCCAGGGGAAACTTTCATGGTGAAAGTCCCCACAGGACTGAGAACAGAGAAGGTCTTTGGGGGTTCAGCTGATGCTGAAGGAAGAGTGGAGAGTAGTCAGGCAGCAAGGAGAGAGGCTGCTGATTCCGTGACTGCACAGAGCATCTATGCAGGCAGGGAACGTTGTACTGACAGCCCCAGGGAAGGTGGTGGGCAACCCTGGGTGCTGAGGGCCAGGGGAGGGCAGCTCAGGATGGGAGTCGGGTTGGGGATTTGGACAGTGATGGCCGGCACCTGAGAACTGGGCTCTGAGGGGATACACCCCTGGGACAAAGTGGCTGGATGCTGAGTACAAAAGTCATGAGCAGAGGGTGAATCTGTCTCTCATAAGGGTCTGTATGCCAGATTGAACCCAGAGCTACTGAGGCTCTAGAAGCCTGCACTCCAACTTGCTGAGAACCAAGCCCTGTGCATGAAGCCCAGACATGGTTAGAGTGACAACAACCTGACTGGTGTGATGGAGTCCAAGAGAAAGCTGGGCTGTGGACAGTAAGACTGGGTGGCTCTCCCTAGGCAGTTCCAACTCCAGGATCATCTTGGGGTCTGGATAGCCAGAACAACACATGACTTTTATCCTGGTAGGGAGACCAGCACCAGCATTGGTCTGATTGCTAGAGGGATGGAGGAAGCTTTGTGGCTCAGTGGTGAGGAACCAGCTCAGCCTGCAGACCCGGATTCAAGTCTTGCCCCTCACTGCCTACCTCCCAGCCATGCTGGCCTTCTCTGTCACTCAGACATTTCGTGCTCCTTCAGACAACCTAAGAAGCCTCCTCCACCCTCTGATGCTTTTGTCCCAGTTCTTGGTGAGGTAGCCATCTTCTATCATTTACAGTCACTGCCCTTCAAGCTCCATCTTTTCATGCCCTCCATGGTGTTGGCCATCACAGAGGTTCACATGCTCTACCATTTACTTCTTCCTTTACCTTCACTCTGAGAGGGCAGAGGCCTAGGTTCCCTGGACACCATATTTCCCTTTTCGAATTGGCTGAATGGCTGACGGCCTCTTGCTGAATGATGAAGGGAAGGAGTGGTTGGAACAGGAGGAATTCACCTATCTCTTTCCAGTACACTTTCAAGGTCCCAGATACTTAAAACAAAACACAACACACCTTTAATCCCACCCAGCATTCGGGAGGCAGAAGCAAGAGAATCTCTGTGAGTTTGAGGCTGACCTAGTCTGCATAACAAGGCATAACAAGGTCTAAGCCAGCCAGGGATGCCTAGTGAGGCTGTGTCCCAAAAATAAGCAAAAACATAGTTTCTAAGAAATTACAGAATTGGCACTTTCATATTTCATCCAGTCTCCCTTTCTCTGTCCCCACAGATGAAGCATCTGTATGTTCAAAACAGAGACCACGATAAAGGAAGGAACAAAGGGAAGGAAATTGAATGAGACACAATAGAGAAGGTGGAGTGAACAGTGGGGTTGGCTCTGGTCCCTTCTCACATCAGATTCTCCGTTGATACAACCCCAGGCTCTGAGACAGCGGTCTGTGGAGAAGCCACATCCTGTCGCCCTTATTGAACAATATTTGTATTTCTGCAGCCTTCTTATCTGTCTCAGACAAACCCAGCCAGGGGACAGGGCTCCCAAGTTGCAACAAATACTTGAGAGCAAGAGACAGTCACTCCCAGCCCTGGGAGAAAGATAAGAGTGATATCTCTGCCCACGACCTTCCAGATAATATCTAACAAAATATTGCTTCTCAGTGTGCCAGACAACTCATTATGTCAAGCAATAGGGCTGTGACGGTCCCTGAAAGTACTGGTTCAATGAAATCAATCCTGAATATGAAGTCTTGGTCACTGACCGAAGGGCCCCCCACCCCAAACTGGCTACCTGTTGCCTCTTGCTAGGAAAAGTCAACGGATTCCCATCACCAGCCAGCTTGGATGAGCAATTGAATGTCCTTTAGTGTGAGATCAAAGGCTGTAAGATGGGTAGACAGGGAGGGCAACAGAGCCACCACTATCCATCCCTGGTCAGCACTGGGCCGGGGCTCATAGACCCACAACTCGGGCTCTAGTCCTGTAGAAGCCTAAGTGTGATTTCTTCATGCCTCTGGCACCTCAGTGGGTGAGCTCTGCCTGCAGGGAGCAGGTGCCCTGCTAAGAGAATGGGTGGCCAGGGAGGTGGGGACACTGAACTTTGGGCAGGAGAGGAGAGCCAGTCTTGGGTCTCCAAATTCTAATCCTTCAGGGCCACCCTAGCTTCTGCTCTTCTAAGAGTGACCTCCCCACACATGCTAGAAGGAGACAGAACAGCAAAGCAGGCTGGGGCTGAGGTGAGGGTGGGCTTCCTCAGCCTGGCCCATCAGGGTATGCCGAAGGGCACACTGAGTTGGCCCAGCCCTGGCCCTGCTGTCTCTCCTTTCTTCTGTCCCCTTTCTCTTTTCTCTTTCTCTCTTGATTTCTCTC